AAAGGAGTTCATTGTATTGTTCCATAACCGATCTTGAGTCAACCATTTTATAATTATTAAAATCAACCACCAAGAACTTCTTACTAGAAGCATCCTCGGCGATGTATTTTGACTCAAGAGAATTCCACAATTCCTTCGCACTCTCAATATTTTGGTAAATATCAAATAATGCATCGGACATACCGTTAAGAATGTGGCCTCTACATATGTAGTCATCGTTCTCCCACTTGTTACGCCTCCTAATTTGTTCCAAAGTTTCGTCCTCCATCACTTCCGGCATCGGAGTGCTCAACACGTACACAACCTTCAAAGTGGTGAGGATGAATTGCATCTTCTTTTGCCATCTACGGAAATCGTCCCCTTGAAACTTGTCCAATTTGTTGAACTTGGATGTCATCTCTTCCACGGTACTCGTGATTACCACAAAGAAATTATCAATTCGATTGTTGGGGTATATCACGTAGGGGGTGATAATCGAGTACTTGGATTGCTTAAGGATCATGTAAGTTCACTTTCTGAATTGATATTTCTCCCCTATGCCTGGTTACAAGAAATTCAATCTAGGATAATCCTTAAGGACACTCTAGAACTTAGGCACAAGAACTAGAGCCAAACTAGTCGAGTATATGGATTGTTATCTTTAATTTGAATGCCAAAAGTGATCAAGATATGTTGTATATCTCTCCTCTGTCTTCTCTGTACCAAATATGGTGATATATATCCATATTACACATCCCAGGCAGTTGCAACACGTTTTAGAATAATCATGACAGTTTTTGAAAAAACTGCACGAAACTGCCCAACTGCTCTAGACCTCGGTCTAGAACCACATAGTTGGTCTACTAAGTGTTCTACCGCGAGTTCCACTGCCGTATACACTTTGGAATAAAACTCGTTCTTATATACAAGTGTGCACTCCACACCTCCTAGATTGTAATAGAACACGGTTCTAATCCCTGTTGGCATCCATGTCATTTCCAATTACACAAAACGGCCGGTGACACTAAAATCACCAACAAAAAACTTCGACAATGGAACGGACCCCAATAGTGGCACTGATTGGCGGAGGAGCCCTTCGAAGGTTTGTCGGCAACACATTTCAAACCTCAATGAACCAGGACGCAAGGAGGCATGGATGTACAAAAATCAACAAGAGGAGATAGAGATCCCAGCCCAAGCGTATGGAATGATGGAAATGGAGGAAGAAGCTGAAGTGATTTTGGTGGAATCTATGGCTTTCGGGGTGATCAACAAACTTTATCGCTAGTCGGCACAATTACATATGAGAAATCGGTATGTTTCTCAATTTTCCGTGACACTTTGGCGTCATTTTGGAAACCTGTTAAGGGTATTACCATAACAGGTCTTGGAACTGGGCGTTTTATGTTTCAATTTTATCGTGAAAGTGAGTTGCATACGGTGGTTCGAGAAAGACCGTGATTATTTGACCAAAACCTTATTGTTCTAAAAACTTCGGAGGAAAGTGATTTTCCATTGGCTGTGCCTCTAAATAAGGCAGACTTCTCGCTGAAGGTTTATGAAATACCTGTTGGCTATTTTACTCTAAAAAATACTGAAAGAATATGCAATTTTGTGGGTACTTTGTTCGGGTTGATGAGCATAATTTTAATATGAAGTGGAACCCGTTTATGCGTTATTGCGTCACTCTTAACATAGAAAAATCCCTGGAAAGGAAACCTTTTTACAAAAAGAGGATGATACTAGTTTATGTATTTCGTTTTGATATGAAATTTTTTCCCAATTTTTGTTTTCTGTGTGGAATTATTGGGCATGCGGAGAACTTCTATCCCCGTAAGCATTGGGGTAGTTTGGAGGGGGTGTCAGATTATTTGGAACTTAGCTTAGAGTTACGAAGGGGATAACTCAGATCGAAGGCAATAAATGGTTAGTTCCGGGTGGGGGAGGGCAGAATAAGGAGCAGGAAGCAGTGACTTCACCCAAAAATCTTGAAGAGGAACATGGGTAGGCAGAAGTGGTCAAGGGCGGGAGGACTGAAGCTCACAAGAGACGAACAGACAAAAAACGCAGGCACATAGCAGGAGACGAAGAGGATGACAATGACAATGACATGGAGGTGGAGCAAGGCCAGGCAAACAATGGGAAGGAGGCGAACTTCAAATCAGTGGCCCGCTCGACACAAGATTGAGTTATCTACTAGCTCACAAGGGGGAGAGAGGATTGAAGAACCACTGCTTTATTTTATCATTTATCTTTATTAATTTCAGTTTCATTTTCAATGCTCAATACCTTGTTTTTTGTTTGGTGGTGTGAGTTAGTGACATGGATACTAGTGCTTTTGGGTGTTTTGTTGTTAGAAAGGTAGGAAGCACTCAAGTTTTTGTAGTGAGTTGTAGCTTTGAATCTTCTCATGACGAGTGAGTAGTCATGCTCACCATTGATGAGTTTACTATATGTCTGATAAGAGAGTGAGAGACCTTTTAGCTATATTTTGTGTGGGTCTGGGAGTCAGATTGTTGGAGGCTTGGATATTTGGCTTTTGACCTTATTTATCTTTTTTTTTGGGAAAAATATGGCTTAAATTGATATCATAACATTTAAAGAGGGAAAAACAACATAAAAGAACCCCTTCCAACTGCCGACCCTCGGACTAGACTTAGAGTTAATCACCTTACAGAAAACAATATGACTAGCTGATCTTATAATGGGTCTAGATGAGTCACACATGGTTAAAATAGACTCCTCTTCACCCAATCCTAATGCAAGAGTCTTGACAGAAAAAGAAATAAAAAGCAACAACAAAAAAGTCTGATCAAAATAAGCAATAAATATGAATATAAAGTAATGGAACTTCAACCGCATCCTCATCATCATGAGGACCTCCCTCTGCTTTTTTTTTGCCATAAAACTTCTTCAGAGCTCCCGACGGGTCTGGTGACCGAGACCCGCCCCTCTAAGTTTTTTGGTTCATCCAGAGTCATACTATCACCGCCATGTTTCTCGTGCTCTTTCTCCTCCCACACCCTCCCGCGTTTTCTGCTCATCAGGGATCTCCTCCGTAGCTGCTGCTTCTGCCTCCTAAGATCTAACCTTGCTGGGGTCCGCACCAGTGAGAATCCAGTTCTGTCTCCCTGCCCCCATTCGTCCTACCCTTTCATTTTCTCTGCCCATGTTTATTATCTTTCTAAGGCGGGCCCTTACCAACTGATGATCCTTCCAGGACCAGCCATTTGTTACTCCCCTAAAGGGCGAGCTTCCCCACCCCCTCCGGCTCGGAGGCCACCCCACAGGGTTTATCTAAAACTTTATTCTCACATTTATATGTCAAAGGGCAGAACTTGTTAGCATGACCAATAACACCACAATCAAAGCAACAACTAGGGAGTTTTTCGTATTAAAATCCACCTAGTGGCCTGCTCCCTGCCCCTTTCCTAAGAGTCGTGCCTGCCTTCAATGGTTTCCCCACCTCTATACAGACCCTGATCCTCATATAGGATTCCCAATCTTTTTCAAATTAACTTTCATCGAAACTGATAAATTTATCATTAGAATTACCAATTCTCCTAGCCACCTCTACATTCATAAAACCATAAGGTACATTATGCACATGGACCCAAAACTCTGCCTCATTTAAAGGAACCCAAGGGGGGATGTCTCACGGCTTGATTGCCCTAAGTATCAGCAAATTCTACTCAAACAGCCACGAGCCATTGTCTAGAACATGTTCCATATCAACAGCATGGTAAAAAATGAACATATACATTTTTTCGTCGATTTCTTTGATTGAGACCCCTATCCCCGAACGCCACAATGAAGCCATGAGATTCCTGAACACAAGAAATCTCACCATTCTGTCCGTGAGAAGGGTGCCCACATCTGGAAAGATAGCCTTGCGTTCCGATGCCTCTCCCTCGCCATCAATCTCCTTGTCTAAGACTAGTTCCTCCTCATCCCCACCAATGACCATGTTATCATATTTGTTCACAATGCCTTCCATCCTTTCTGCCTCGCTTGACTCCTCGTTCGAACGAGTAGAGGCTCGTCTGCGAACTGTTGTTGCAGTTGAAATAAGACTACCCCAACCCTAATGAGTAATGATAAGGCTAATTGTTCTCGCAGCCCTCACTGTCGTGCTTTAACGAAGAAAAGCGTAGAAAACGCACGAAACTCTCCAAAACCTACAAGAGGGTTTGGACCCTCGCTCTGATTGCCTTATTTATCTCAATACTCCATCCGTCCCTTAAAATTTTGTCAACTTTTCTTTTTTGAATGTCCTACTAACTTTGCCACTTTCCCTTTTAAGTATAGAATTCGTGGTTCCGGTAATTCTCCCTCCTCTGCACAAATCTCAACCACACATTTTTTACTTTATTAATCACTGTGTCAGTTGCAAATTTTTAAGGGACACATAGAGTATGAACATTTTTCAGTAAAAAAACATAAAATTACTAAAAGGTTTGCTCCTTAAAAAAAGGTTCGTAAAATTCGAATCACTAGTTCTCCATATCTTTTTACTCCTTCAGTTCCTAAATAAACTTCCAACTTTCCTTTTTCGTCCGTTCCAATTAAAACTTCCACTTTTCCTTTTTAGTATAGAATTTGTGGTTCACAACATTTCTTACACATTTCTCTCTCCTCTGCACAACTCTCCACCACATAATACCCACTATCTTAAACTCTGTGCCAAACCTATTTGGAAGTTTTAATAGGAACGGAGGTAGTAACTAGTTTCCTCATTTCAGCCTCTACTTGGATTGATTTATCGGTGGACGTAGCTCAACCGGTATCAAGAGAGTGTCACAAGAGTTAGGTCCCGAGTTCGAATCCCGGCAACTGCGATGATGAATTACTATGCTAAAAATGCATAGAGTCTCTGCAAATACCGAACACAGAACCACACTCGAAATTGAGATTATAGTCCAATTTACCTTTCTCCCAACTTATTGTACCAGGTTGGGGCCCTCTGGATGGGGTGTCATCTTCTACTTGGATTGATTTGTGGGAGACGGAGACCGGGTGTCATCGATTTCCACCCACTCCTGACTTCTTCAGCAGAGAGTTTGGCGCTCTCTACGACTCTACCCAGCCTGAACACGGCTCAACCAAGAATAACAGAAATAGTTTGTCGCTCTCTATCTATCCATGGCTGGATGCATCACCACCTCCTTATTATCAATATCACCCTCTTCTTGCTCTTGCTTCTACCGCAGTTTCAATCCTCTTATTGCCTCCAGACGGCGTCAAAATTCCGTATTACACTCCCGCCACCGTCTCAGAACCTACAGGTCATTTGCAAGTGAGTGCCTTGAATGTTTGTTTTTCCCTTTTCACACAATTAATTTTCTTCGCCCCTTTTTCTATTAAATAAAAGCAGCAACTTTTTAAGCAGTCGATATTTGTTCAGCATAGTGAGCATACAGTCTTATGCTCTCGTGGGAAATAAATCGAACTTTTTGTGTGCTATGGAGTAGGAAACTCGAAAAGAAACTCATTTCTGTTACATTGCAGCGTTTGCAACCAGCTCCGGTGTCTTCACTTCCCCAGAAGTTGCGAAGTCATTTGATTTTAGCAATGAGGAGCGCATCTATAAATGGTATTGCTGCTTTCTTGAACTATGGCTGCCTATTTTCTTCTCAATTCGTTGGCCGAGTAGAAGACCAGTTCAGGGTCGTCCATGACCTTTTCTGTATGAAATATTCAGCAAATATATTTTACAAACAAGAAGAGGTCATATTTGCCTGCCCTTCTAGTTACTAGCATGTTTTCTTTTTTGCAATTTCTAGGAGTTTTATATAATATCTGTGATAGCCTTATTCTATGCGTCTAAGCTACATTCCTTGAGCTGTATTTGTCACTGTTTTCTAAATTGATAAGAGCAATGACACCAGAAAGCGATTGAATAAAATAAGTGAAGCAATAAATTACAGATATAAAAACAAAAAAAGAACAAGAGTCAAGATAATTCTCACACAACATGCTGATTCATACATACATCCATACCCACACATACAGTGTGTGTGTGTATAGAACTGATCTGGTTAGGCGCGCCTGACTAGATTCTCGTACACCAGACCTTTTGAGGGGCTTTCAGGTCGATTTTTTGATGAAATTTTGTGAGCTTGTTCTTGATAAAGTGTATATTTTGTCTACAAAATATCAGCTGAAATGTCAATCGGGAACTCAGTTAAATCATTTATTGAAAAACACTGCGCTTTATATTATATTATAATATATTATATTATATTATATTATATTATATTATATATTACATTGAAAAACACTGCGCTTTATATATAATACTATCCTCCATTCCATTTTAATCGCAACATGTTGAATTTTACACCATTCACATGCTCTATTTTGACTACATTTTACGCTATTATTTTATGAAAAATATTTTAAAAAAATATTGTTCAATTCATATCATTACAAATTTTCAAAATCTGGTTTTTAATATTTTTTTATTAATAGAATTAAGATATAATTACGGTCAAAGACGTGCGTTGGCAAATGTGAAATGTTGACTATTGCAACTAAAAAAGAACGGAGGGAGTATATTATTATATATATCAAACACATTGTTTTTAGATATTTTATTTAACTAACTTTCCGATTGAATTTTAAGCCGGAATTTTATGGACATAATCTAAACCTCATGAAGAACATGCTCACAAAATTTAATAAAAAAATTCGACCCGGAAGGCCCTCAAACGGGCTTGGCCATACAGGACATCTAGTCAGGCACGCCTGACTGGATCAACTCTCTCTATATATAGAATTTGGTCCAAATAAGAAGTTGATCTTATGCAAAAAATAAGAATGAACTTGGTCCATTGAAGTTGAGATCTCATGGCTCTAAATATGCCAACAGTGCAAAGTATTTCATATTCTTGTAAATAAACCAAAATTTGTTGCCACCACTAACTGTGCATTGTTGGGCACATTAAAGTGCATTCAATAAACTAAATGTTCGTCAATTTACATATTTCTCTACTTCGTGGGTCATCCTCAGCAGAACCCTAAATAATAGGCGGGAATTTATCTCTTTCCCTATGTCTACATCTACATGAGTGTGCATTTATATGGCATTTACTTTTGTCAAAAACTGAATATTGTTGAATAATAGGTGGGAATCTCAAGGGTATTTCAAGCCGAGCTTTGAAAGAGGGAATGATCCTTTTGTGATTTCAATGCCACCGCCCAATGTTACTGGTTCATTGCACATGGGACATGCCATGTTTGTTACTCTAGAGGTTCAAATTATATGATTTCTGCAGACAAACATGACCGTTGAAATTCTAAGATGATGTTTATGATATGTTTGATTCAACCAAATATTTTTGGCTTCATTGTGGAGTTTTTATGATTCATTGTCATTGCAGTTGCACATGTTAGTTAATTGTGAAAGAAGATAAATACCATAGAAATGCGAAACGGGAAACAAGGGAAATGACATTTTTGAAAAATATCGGATGCGTAACATGGGGAGAACACATAAGTAAAAAGATTTAAGGACATATTTATCAAAATATATTTCAAATATACATATTTATACTACCTCCGACCCTTTTTATTTAGCCAACTTTGACTTTTCAAATAAGATGACAACGAGTTGGAGGAAGAGTACTCTTATCCCATTATTTAAGAATAAAGGCGATGTACAAGAATGTGCCAACTATCGAGGGATTAAGCTTATGAGTCACACCATGAAACTTTGGGAACGAGTGATTGAGCAAAGACTTCGAAGAACTGTGAAGATTTCAGAGAATCAATTCGGTTTTATGCCTGGTCGCTCAACAACTGAGGCCATTCACCTTCTTCGGCAACTTATGGAGAAGTATAGAGACGCTCATAAGGATCTGCATTTGGTGTTCATTGACTTAGAAAAGGCATATCATAGGGTACCTCGAGAAGTTCTTTGATGGGCCTTAACTAGGAAAGACATATCACGCAAGTATATCAACATCATCATGGATATGTATGAGGATTGTACTACAAGTGTCCGTACTAGTGTAGGGAGGACTGAAGAGTTCTCTATTACTATCGGAGTGCACCAAGGATCGGCCTTGAGCCCTTTCTTATTTGCCATAGTCATGCATGAATTTATGAAGTCAATTCAAGACGATATACCGTGGTGCATGATGTTTGCCGACGATATTGTATTGATTGATGAGACACAATCAGGTCTTTAAGCAAAGTTGGAAGTATGACGACAAACATTGGAGAATAAGAGTTTCAAACTAAGTCGGAGCAAGACAGAGTACATGGAGTGCAAGTTTGGTGGAGGTAGAAGCAGTGGTAATAGCGGAATTACTCTGGATGGTAAGGAGATACCAGTCAGCGATATGTTCCGTTACTTGGGCTCCATAATTTAGAAGAACGGTGAGTTATATGGAGATGTATCCCATAGAATCAGAACATGGTGGATGAAGTGGAAGAGTGCGTCAGGACAACAATTAGGCCTGCATTACTGTATGGCGTAGAGTGTTGGGCGGTGAAACAATGTCACATTCAAAAGATGAGTTTGGCAGAGATGCACATGTTGCGTTGGATGTGTGGGCATACTAGGAAGGACCGCGTGAGGAATGAGACAATCAGACAAAGGGTAGGAGTAGCACCTATTGAAGACAAGATGCGGGAGTCGCGCCTACGGTGGTTTGGTCATGTGCGTAGATGACCAAGTGATGCACCTGTCAGACGAGTTGAGATGTGTGGAGAAGAGGCAGGGAAGAGAGGGAGAGGAAGACCCAAACAGACGTGCGTTAGGGGAGTTCAAAGTGATATGCTTCTTCTGGGATTGGATGAGGGCATGACTTTGGAGATAACTATGTGGAGGGCGAGTATTCGTGTGGAGGAGTGATCTCGTATCATCTTTTTCCCTCATCTTTTTTTCCTTGTTTTTTATCCTTATATATATAAGCATTATTTGTATCCTTTTTATTTTATCATTTTTATGTATATTCATCTCTTTTTATATTATCTTTTTATAATAGCTTATCTTTTTTCTTTATTTTCTTTCTTTTCCTTTTGGTTGTGATATCATGTATCGATTCATGTTAACCGACCCCAATATCTTTTGGGACTAAGGCTTAGATGTTGTTGTTGTTGACTTTTCTAGTCAAAGATAGTAAACTTTGATCCATTATTTTAACTAATATGCTTATGTGAAACTTAACAAATTTATACTTTTATGATAATATTTTTAAGAAAGAACATTTTCATAAAATTTTCATATTATCAATACTACCGTGTATAAATATATAATCGGTCAAAGTTTTACAACATTGACTTGAAAAGTCAAATTTGGCTAAATAAAAAGGGACGGAGGGAGTAATATGTATATATAAAAAGGGGCGGAGGGAGTAATATGTATACTTATGTTTGTATGTATACTTATTTTTTCATATAACTTTTTTAAACAATTAATGATAAAAGTAGTCTTCATGTTGAGATATAGAAAATATTGCATATTGCCAATTACCTTGTAGTCGATGGCATCACCGCTGATCTCCCAAAGAGGAGGTCGCAGGTTCGAGTCCATCCCAATCAAGAATGTTGGCATTAACATTAGCAGATACTATAATAGGTTTAGAAGAATGTTCCAAAAAGAAAAAGAAAATATTGCATATTAGTATATAAATAAATGTAAAGTACAATACATTTCTCGCAATGCATTGCACCAAGTATCACAAAGACCATGTTGCTGCGAACCTGTGAAGAAATTCCATAAAATGCTTAAAAAACAAGACCAATTTCCATAAATATCCCATAAAAGAACAAAAATGCACAACTCAAAGGTTCTGAAATGCTAAATTATGGAAACTGCCTGGAAATGGGAATTTGAAGCTTTCGAGTTCCTGCACTCTTATTTGTTTTTGAACTACAAAACGTCAGCTATTGTATGTTTCAGTGCTCCTTATGTGAAAGTAATTATCTCTCACACACTATGCACTTTCTATTCATTATCGCATTCTTGCCATATCTCTTGTATATTTTGTTGCCTCACTGAAGTGTATGCATACATGTTAGTGTTAGTAATCATTGTGCTTTATGTTTTGAATGGTGGCAAAGAGTCTTTAATATAATAAATACTCCCTCAGTCCCACAAAACTTGACCAAGTTTGACTTGCAAATAGAATAATAAAGTAAAAAATGTGTGGTTGAGATTTGTGCAGAGGAGGGAGAAATAACTTTTAACCACCCCTTAATTACTTTGAATGGAAATGAAAAAGTTTTTTTGAGAAGGCTAAATGAGGAAATTGGACAAAAAAATGTGTGACGGAGGGAGCAATAATTAATAAATCAAGGGTAAGAGAAAAATAAGAGTTGTCTAAGACCTCAATGGAGTTGACTGCAGCAGGCCATGTGAAGAGGTATAATATTGACGACTGTTTCTTCTAAATTGTGGTACACATTATAAAGAATCAGGAACACTGGAAGTAATTTCATAGTTACATCTCTTCGTTTCGTATACTGCTAGGAAAGTTAAGTCACCACAATCACCAACATCTTAATTCTAATTCGTAACTAGTTGGGATCAGTGGCAATGTAGCATGATTTTTTCGTTTCTAGTACTTAAGTTAACAGTTTAGCACTATATGCTTGTGCAAAAAGCATTGTGACAAAGCGATATGCTGGATGAACTTCATGTAGTGAATTTCAGAACCGCCATGGCATCATCATTGTACAATGTTTTCACTTGCATGAAATATCATGACATCAGTGAGTTGAGGTATTTTTACAGTTATGCTCTATTGCAAAATTGTAAATGTCACATAAACTGCAATGATGGATCATGAGTTCATGACCGCGTTAGGAGAGTTTAGTATGTTAGTAAACTTCTAATACTTCAATGATCCCTTACTTGCATTTTGGAATACATAATTATCTCTATTTAGGAGCACTTGAGTATTTAAGCAAATGTATTGTCCTAGGTATTTGTGATGTTTAAGTAGTATCCTTATTTGGCAATTCTTGGGTTAGGATATCATGGTAAGATACAACCGAATGAAGGGACGACCCACACTTTGGATTCCCGGGACTGACCATGCTGGTATTGCAACTCAGGTTTTTCTAGAACTAAATGCTGTAGTTACCTGCTTACATATAACATATCCATATAATGGAGAAGAATTTACTTCTTTGTGACTGATTGTTAATGTCGTTTCTAATCTATTTATTCATTCACTGATTTAATAACTTCGTTGTGCACCTAAATGGCTTTCCAGTTAGTTGTGGAAAGAATGCTGGCTGCAGGAGGAATAAAAAAGACAGACATGGACAGAGACGACTTTATCAAACATGTATGGGAGTGGAAAGAGAAGTATACATTTTCTTCCATTCCTCCATATAGTTTGAATGAGCTCGATTTGAAAACATACTAATATACTATGCACTATGAATAATACATGACGTTCGTACTTTGTGCAAAGATAGTCATGTTACAGTACTGAGTACATTCAAAATTTACAATTTTCTGAAATTTTCAGTAGGATCATGACCATTTTAGGAAAGTTTAGTTTATTATTTAACAACAAAAGTGTAGAACCATGATGCATTGTGTTTTCTAGAATCAAATACCACCCAACTATCACCTTTACCACTGTAGCTTGCTTTTACTACCACAAGTCCACAACCATTTAGGATAGTCTATGTCCACCCACCTCAACTTACTACCACTCTACCAGGCAACCAGCACTGCCTAAGAGAGTAAGAGGTTTGCCTTGGGCCCTTGGCTACGAACCACCAACCACTTAAACATTGATAGTAAAATACATGGTTTGCAACTTATCATCATCTCTAGGATTTCTAGCACATTTCGTTAGCATGTTGCTGGTGTGTTTTCCATCCGTTATTGATTTACTATTTAACCCTCTTTTAAGCAATAGATTCTATAATTTGCAGTCTTCCTAATATTAAGTTTTGCTTATTACTACTTTAAGGTATGGTGGAACCATTACAAATCAGATAAAGAGACTTGGTGCTTCTTGTGATTGGAGCAGAGAAAGATTTACACTTGATAAACAGCTGAATCGTAAGACTGCTTTGCATACACTAAAGCTCCAAAAAGATACAACTGTAGGGCTAGAGTTTCTTGCGTCACATAATGAAATCTTTAAGTCTACAGGCCTTAGTTTCCAACATTGCATCGTTAGAACTGGAGACCTAGAGTTTCTTGTGTCACATCATGAACTCTTTGAGTCTATAGGCTCTAATTTCCAACATTGCATCTATTATACTTTTTATTTCACTCCGAGTATGGATTAATTCTGACTGATTATTCCTTTTTAGAGTCCGTATCTTCCGAGACATATATGCAATGGCACACACCTTCCGACTTGACTATTTTAATCATTGCAGGAGCTGTAGTGGAGGCCTTTGTGAGGCTTCACGAGAAAGGGCTAATATATCAAGGTAACCATCTAAGCCAAATGTTTGCAACTATGCGTTGAGAATAGCATGTACTTCGCACCTTACTAAAATAATAGAAAATATATTCTCCTTGCAAAAATTATTGATGAGAATCTTGTCGGTTATTTATTATCATTGATTCCTATATTTCTAAGCCATAATCTAATTATACCTACAACCTACCATTGGTATACACTATACTAGAAAGCCCTGCTTTCTTTGTCAAATACAGTCTCTCTGAATATTTTTCGGATCTATTGTTTCAGTATTATATGACTTTAAAAAAGTTCTAATTTTCTTTTTCTTTGACAGGCTCTTATATGGTGAACTGGTCACCAAGTTTACAGACTGCAGTTTCTGACTTGGTATGGACTGTCTTGATCATGTCTTGTTTAAGTAATGCCAATGTCCAAGTTTTATTTTTAAATAACAGTTAGTCAGTTGCTTTTATCTCAGGAAGTAGAGTATTCCGAAGAACCTGGAACTCTATATTACATCAAATATCGTGTTGCTGGAGGGTCTAGGTAATCAGATTATATGTTATATTATATCTAATAAGTGTGGTTGTTTTGTTCTCCCAAACTAGTGATTACGACTAGAGTAAAGTCATGGGGTTAATCATGTTCTGTTTTCAATTGCTTCTAATTACTACAGTGAATATTAAACACCTTCTCTTAACATAATAAAAACTACTATAGAAACTAGAGGAAATTACCACTCGTGTGACCAAAAGATCTGGTCTTTTCCAACTTATGACTCATGTTTTTCTCCTAATTTGATGGTATGTGTCATGATATCCATACCATCCGTTCCACATTTGTGATGTACTGGTGAACATAACAAGGAAAGAGAATTGGTCCCTCTTGTAATAAAAGATTTTTCATTTAATAGAAATGTAGAGCATATGAAAAAATTTCAACCTATCACATTCAATGGTGGAATCGCCATCTCTTCTCCCCGACGGTGGTGGATATCCATGGTTACCATCTTCTCACCGGATTCACGACGATCTTCAAATTCCATGGCTACCATCATCTCTTCTTCTTCCTAACGGCGGCATAGTTCTATACTTCCATGTCTGAACTATCTTTCTAACGATTGACGAATTCGACAGGTACCAAAATCTTCTTCTTTTTCTTCCATCTCCTCCTCTTCTTCATTTGGGTTGTTATAGACAATTGATAATGAGGTTTGGGAATGGGAAAGAAATAAAGGCAGTGACAAGATGCAATGGTAGTGGTCGACAACAGGGCCTAAGATTATAGATTGTGAATGCGGTAAAAGGGATGATGGTGCACATTGAAGAAGGCGGTGCTGTGCAGTGAAGGCAGTGTATGTCTGGCAGTGGCAAGAAGCAATGAACGATCATAGGAGAAGGAGCCGAAGGTGAACCTATCACATTCAATGGTGGAATCGCCATCTCTTCTCCCCGACGGTGGTGGATATCCATGGTTACCATCTTCTCACCGGATTCACGACGATCTTCAAATTCCATGGCTACCATCATCTCTTCTTCTTCCTAACGGCGGCATAGTTCTATACTTCCATGTCTGAACTATCTTTCTAACGATTGACGAATTCGACAGGTACCAAAATCTTCTTCTTTTTCTTCCATCTCCTCCTCTTCTTCATTTGGGTTGTTATAGACAATTGATAATGAGGTTTGGGAATGGGAAAGAAATAAAGGCAGTGACAAGATGCAATGGTAGTGGTCGACAACAGGGCCTAAGATTATAGATTGTGAATGCGGTAAAAGGGATGATGGTGCACATTGAAGAAGGCGGTGCTGTGCAGTGAAGGCAGTGTATGTCTGGCAGTGGCAAGAAGCAATGAACGATCATAGGAGAAGGAGCCGAAGGTGATATATAGTGAAGACACCATCGGAAGCGGTGCTATGCAGTGAAGGATGTGGTGGTGGGAACGAAAGTTACAGTGTACAGTGAAGGAGACACTTGATGCACTGGACAGTGCAGATGACGGTTACAGTGTCCTGTGAATGAAGTGGTGAAAGCCTCCACAAGAGAAAGTTGGTCGATGGTGGCGGACATTGAAGACTGCATTAGTTATTTGAAAAAGAAAACCCAATGTCAAATTAGCAATCAAATCTCTCTCTTTTATTAAATTATTTTCCATTTCGGTTTCTTAACACCTAAAACTAAAATAAGTGTAATTTTGTCTTATTATGTCATTGTTAGTCATATAATTAACTAAAAACTCATATGTCATAGACTGAGAAAGTCTAAATCTTAGTCATATATAGGTAAGAATCCCTAGAAACCAGTTGACATATATCATGTTACAGTTTCCACTTGACATCTAAATACTTTTGCTATGTATTTCTCATTCCCAAAATAACTTATATTTTTTTTCCTCGTGTTTTTGATAGAAGTTTGGGGGTAATTGGTAAGGGGTGATCATAAAAATCCAATTCTTCTAAGAGCACGCTAAGCAATAGAAAATTACACACTTTTTTGGCAACTACTAACTAGAGAGTTTGTATTGTACACATGAACTTCAGTACTCGTGATGTAAGGTAATGCATCAACAATTACATCTGTCAAACCATATGCTTATAAAGGATTAAAAGAGTATCGTTTTGCTGTATGGAGACCACTATTTTTTCTATTTCTGAACTTATATTTCATTAGGAGTGACTTTTTGACGATTGCCACCACACGCCCCGAGACATTATTTGGTGATACTGCTGTTGCAGTTAATCCTGAGGTATGATAACCACTAACGAAAAGTGTGCACTTAGAATGCCAGCTTCAGTACAAGCTAATAGTTTTATATATCTTTCATATCAATTTGTTTGAGGAAGTTAAGGTATTTGATTTGCTTCTTTTTTTTCAGGATGAACGTTATTCCAAGTATATTGGTATGGAGGCTATTGTACCTATGACCTTTGGGCGGCATATTCCTATTATATGTGACAAGGTAGGGTGACGCGTGTGTTTCGATTGTAAGGACTACCACTATCTGCAGTTTATGGTGCAAGACAGTTAAAAAGACACTCCATGTGCCCCCAACAGATAGTCCACTATTTTTTTGCACACAAACTAAGAACTGCTTGTTAGGATAGTCCCACAAATATGGATCAATTTTATCCTATGTAAAGTTAACAGTTTCCTAGTTCAATTTTGATGTTGGTGATTGGGGTAAATCTAGAAATGGAAATGTACATGCAACCAGTAAGAAACTAGACTATACTTGTGGGACGGTCAAACTGGATTAGTTGATTATATTTGGGACAGAGAGAGTATTAGATAATAGGTGAAACATAGCCTTATTAGGGAATGTCTTTGATTGTGTTAGTGATGTGTATGACAAACTTGCACCATATATATTTATGAGCAAAACAGATTTAGGCGGAATAATAATTCTCATTCAGAAGTGCAGTATAAATAGGATCTGAGTTAATCCTAACTAACTAATAGTTATCCGCTAACAACTAACAATTATCTAATTACATTTAGATAAATATAAATACATTAAAATAGCTAATACTCCCCCTCAAGCTGGAGCAAAGATATCAATCATGCCCAGCTTGACTAAAATTTTCTCAAACATTTGCTTGAAGAGGCCTTTAGTCAGCACATCTGCTAGTTGTTCAGTTGTTGGAACATAGGGAATGCATATTTCTCCACTCTCAAGTTTTTCTTTAATCAAATTCCGGTCAACCTCCAATGTTTAGTTCTGTCATGTTGCACTGGATTATGTGCAATGCTAATAGCTGATTTGTTATCACAATACAATCTCATAGGCCTTTCTGATGGCATCCTTAACTCTTTTAACACACGTCTTATCCATATGATTTCATTGTGCCATTGCCCTAAACTCAGCATCTGCACTACTTCTTGATACAACATGGTGTTTCTTGCTTCTCCAAGTGACAAGGTTTCCCCACACAAATGTACAGTAGGCTGATGTGGATCGCATATCAATACTATTTCCAGCATAGTCAGCATCTGTAAACACCTCTGTTTGCCTATTTTGGGTTTTCGTGAACAGAATTCCTTTTACAGGGCTACCTTTAAGACAGTGAATAATTCTGTAGACAGCTCTAAGGTGTTCTTCAGTTGAGTTGTGCATGAACTGGCTGACTAAGCTTACTGCAAATGCTATATCTGGTCTTGTGTGAGCTAGGTAAATGAGTTTACCAACTAGTTGTTGATATCTGGTCTTGTCCACAGCTTCCTCACTTTCACTTTTTCCAAATTTTTGATTTGGGTCAATTGGAGTTGAAACAGGTTTGCATCCAAGAAGACCTGTTTCTTTCAGTAAGTCAAGACCTGTTTCTTTCAGTAAGTCAAGCACATACTTCCTCTGACAGATCACAATTCCTTGTGGGATCTAGCTACTTCCATGCCAAGGAAGTACTTGAGATTCCCCAAGTCCTTTATTTCAAATTGTTGAGCTAAGAACTTCTTCAATGCTGCCAACTCTTCCTGATCATCTCCTGTCAGTACTATGTCATCCACATATACAATCAGTATTGCCACTTTACCTTCTACATTGTGTTTGTAGAACAAAGTGTGATCTGATTGTGCTTGAGTGTATCCTTGCTTCTTCACAGTTTTTTCAAATCTCCCAAACCAAGCCCTAGGAGATTGTTTGAGTCCATATAAGGCTTTCTTTAGTTTACACACCTTTCCTGCAGTATTATCATTGTTAAAACCAGGTGGTACCTGCATAAACACTTCTTCTTCCAAGTCCCCGTTAAGAAATGCATTCTTAACATCTAGTTATAGTAGAGGCCAATCCAGATTTGCAGCTAAAGAAAGAAGTATTCTGACAGTGTTGAGTTTTGCAAATGGAGCAAATGTCTCCTCATAATCCAGCCCATATGTTTAAGTAAACCCTCTAGCTACCAGTCTTGCTTTGTACATCTCTATTGTACCATCAGAGTTATATTTTATGGTGAAAATCCATTTATTGTCAACAAGGTGTTTGTTGGGCGGGAGCTTTGTCAATTCCCAAGTTTTATTTTTTTCTAATGCCCTCATTTCCTCTAGAACAACATCTCTCCACTTTGGAATACTTAGAGCTTCATGTATCGTTCTAGGCGTTTCATCATCAGTAATACTAGTGGTAAAGGCTCTAAACTTTGGTGATATGTTATGATATGACACATAGTTACTGATAGGATGTTTGGTACATTCTCTAACTCCTTTCCTAGTGGCTATGGGTTCATTTAGGTCACTTTGATTAGGTGCAAAATTTGGATCAGGGGTAGGATTTGGGTTACTATGGTAGTATGGTCAGACACATGATTTAATTCAAGAGTTTGATAAAGACTGAGAGTATTACCTGGAGCAGAGCTTGGATTAGGAATCGGTTGTGCATTAGTAAGTTGTGGAACAACTCTTTGTCGCTCTTTCCTTCTTGAGTAAACACGAAGTTCAGTATTTGATTCCATGTTCCTCACATTTGCAGTGTCTTTATGAGAAATTGAATTATTTTTTATGGTATGTTTGTTATAGGCTAACTCAGTTTGGTTATTAAAATTTGGAATAGGAAGTACAGTTGACTAAACTCTCCCCCTGAAGAGAAGTTTTTTCAAAGAAAGGTTTATTTTCAAAGAATGTGACATCCATACTCACAAACATCTTGCTCGAGCTCACATCAACACATTTATAACCTTTTTGAGTGTTTGAAACACCTAAGAATATGCATTTAATGGCTCTAGGATCCAATTTACTGCCACTGATTTCATGATTATGAACAAAACTGGTGCAGCCAAAGACTTTAGGAGGTAATTCACTAAAGACTCTATTGCAAGGAAAGCAGTTTTGTAAAGTTTTAAGGGGGTTTGATAGCCTAGAACCTGCTTGGCATCCTATTTATTAGGTAGGCAGCATGAAGTAAGGCTTCCCCCCAAAAACGTTTTTGAACATTCATTGAAAACATTAGAGCTCGAGTTATTTCTAAAAGATGCCTATTTTTTCTCTCGGCAATTCCATTTTGTTGAGGTGTAATTACACAAGAACTATGATGGATTATGCCTTGTTCAATCAAAATTATTCCAAGGGTTTGATTGAAATACTCTCTACCATTATCAGTTCTTAAAACTTGAATTTGAGACTGAAACTGAATTCTGATCATAGAATATTTTTTTTTTTAAAATTTCAGCAGCTTCAGATTTTTCTTTAAGAAGATAAATCCAAGTTTTTCTTGTGTGATCATCAATAAATGTAATGAACCATCTTGCCCCTGAATAAGTTTTGACACGAGATGGTCCCCATATATCACTATGAACTAAAGAGAATGGTTCAGAAGGCATATAGTTCACCGAGGGATAAACAGATTATCTTATGTTCAGCCAATTGGCAAATTTCACACTGAAAACCTTCAACATCTTTATTCTTGAATAATGTAGGAAATAAATGTTTTAAATAACCAAAACTAGGGTGGCCTAATCTATAGTGCCATACTGCCATAACATTATTTCATTCTCTAAAGAAACGTAGCTAGAAGAACATGAATTATGAACTTGTTTACGCTGAGGATTTTCTGAGACAAAGTAGTAGAGTTCACCACTTTCATATGCACTACCAATCACCTTCCCCGAGCTGTGCTCCTGAAAAATACACTCAGAGGAAACAAATTTGACAAGACAATTAGAATCAGTGGTTATTCTACTGACAGATAGGAGATTACATGAGAGATTAGGCACATGTAGGACATTGGACAAAGTAAGGAAAGGTGAGACAATGATGGAACCTTTACCAGCTATTGCAGACAACGAACAATCTGCAATTTTAACCTTTTGATTACCAGAACATGGAATATATGTAGAAAACATATATGAAGATCCAGTCATATGATCAGTGGCCCCTGAATCAATGATCCAAGGGTCGGATTTATGTATTCTAAGATTAAAGGCTGCTATATAGGTACCTTTTTGGACTAATGAGGATGATGGTTCAGATGCGTTTTGATTAGGATTATTAGTAAACTGATGTGTACTCAAGATGCGACACAATTGCTCTAAGTTTTCCTTGATGGATGGATAGGTATTAGTTTCTTCTGAGGAGACCTGGAAACCACCCCTGGAATTGCACTGTGACCTATTTGTTGGTGTAAAGTTGGCTGGTTTGCCATGTAACTTCCAACATTTAGCTTTGATATGCCCAATCTTGTGATAATAGTCACAAACAGGTCTGTTCTATTTCTTTTGAAATAGTTGAGTTGACAATTCTGGCTTCTCATCAGCTTTTGAAGTGGCTAGTGCTACAGTTTCAGCATTTGATGAAATTTTAGCATCAAGCATCACATGCCTACGGCTTTCTTCTCTCATAACATCTGCAAATGCTTCCCGTGTGCTGGGTAGTGGGTCTTTTCCAAGTACTCGACCTCGAACTTCATCAAGTTCCTTGTTTAGTCCAGCCAGAAAGTCAAAGACCCTCTCCTTCTCGACGGTCTTTTTAAATAATGCACTATCTGTTGCGCATTTCCAGGTGTAGTTGCAAAACAGATCGTACTCTTGCCACAAAGTGCTCAGTTCAGTGTAGTACTGTGTGACATTCTTGTCTCCTTGTCGTGTTTTATTTAATTGATTCATGATCTCAAATTGTTGGCTGACATTTCCTAAGTCTGAGTATGTTTTCTTGACGACAGTCCAGATTTCATGTGCTCTTGGCAGAAACAAGTAGGCATGACCAACACCTGAATCCATTGAATTCACAAGCCATGACATGATCATGGAGTTCTCAGCTTCCCATCTATCAAGTCCTTCCTCTCCTTCCTCCGGCTTGGCTGTGGATCCGGTGAGATATCCAAAATTTCCCCGTCCTTGAACGAACAATTTGACAGACTGAGACCATTGGAGGTAATTACTCCCATTTAATTTATGAGAAGTAATAGAAATATTCTGAAAAGAATCAGATTGAGATGTGGGATTTGCACCGCCAGGGTTCAATCATGAAGGGGATTTCATGATTGATCAGCGGCTGAAAGAATAGCGGCTGAGAGAGATTAACGACTGAGTGATCAGCGGCTCTGATACCATATGAGCAAAACAGATTTAGGCAGAATAATAATTCTCATTCAGAAGTGCAGTATAAATAGGATACATCACAGTGAACTAACTCCTAAAAATTAGGATATGAGTTAATGCTAACTAACTAATAGTTATCCACTAACAACTAACTAATAGTTATCCGCTAACAACTAACAATTATCTAATTACATTTAGATAAATATAAATACATTAAAATAGCTAATAATATTTCCAATGAGTACTTAATTTGATACGGTGACCATCTTTTTGTAGCTCGCTAAGCACTTAACTTGCTGATACTGTTCATCTTCCTAAAAAGCAAAAGTTTCTTAGAAATATAGGACATGGTACATTGTTTATTATAAACTGGCCCATGGTTTATGACAGTATGTTGACAAAGACTTTGGAACTGGAGTAATGAAGATAAGTCCTGGACATGACCACAATGATTACTTACTTGCACGCAAACTGGGTCTTCCTATACTGAATGTGATGAATAAGGATGGGACCTTGAATGAAGTAGCTGGCTTGTATGAGTAAGTCTGAAAATGTCTTCTTTTGGTGTCTGAACAAGTACTCGTTTCGTTTATGATCCTGGAGTGTGATGAATTTATGGTGTTATACCTGTAAATTAAGGGGCCTTGACCGCTTTGTGGCACGAAGCAAACTCTGGTCAGATCTTGAAGAGTCAGGTTTAGCAGTAAAAAAGGAGGTATACAGTCAGCGAGTTCCTAGATCTCAGCGCGGTGGCGAAGTGCGTTATAGTTTCCATTTGTTCGTTGTGTTTGTTATTATTTAATAACTCATTGTGTTTTGAACATTCTAATTTTTATTTTTCTCCAGATTGTAGAGCCTCTAGTAAGCAAGCAATGGTTTCTGTCAATGGAGTCTTTGGCCGAGAAGGCCCTTCAGGCAGTTGAAAAAGGAGATTTGACCATTATGCCTGGAAGATTTGAAAAGGTATCCATACACTAAGTTAACCTTGGAATTTTCCATTTTTATGATTAAAGCTGTTGTATATTTTTGGCTTTTTTTTGACATTTCTTTGCTTGGTATTGCATGTCTTCGTTTGTAATGATTTGGACTCACTAAAAGCAATATGCTCCTTGATCTTCTTGATCACAAAAACTTATTTCAAATTTGTGATATAATGTTATTTTTAATTTTTATCTTTGGCAATTACACAAAAAATCCAACTTTTGTAATTAGTGACCAAATCAATGTATTGTATACTTAATTATTTAAAAGCAGCCATCATTTGAATATCCAAGACAAAAATATGATCTGTCTCATTCCGTCCATCGGTGTAAGTTTATTTTTCTAATTTAGAGCCATCGTGTCATTGAATTAATTAATTGAGAGGAAAATTCTAATTCTTTTGCCAGTGTCCCTATCACCTCTTATCTAAATTTGTGTAAAATTTCAACCCTATCAATTAAACTCAAACCCAGTGTGCAGAGGAAGCTTCTCATCTCTATGGGTTCTCAAAAGAAACTTTCTGGTCTTCTATAAATGAATTCAGAGGTATTGGCTCCAATCGACAGAAGAAAACCTTGTTCCTTGATGCTCTATCCCATATTATACTATATTAGCATCACTTCTTCAACCTTGTTCAGTTTTGATTCCAACTTCTTAGCCTTTGTCATCTGGGGAAGTATTTTCTTCTTGCAGTTCATTAATCTCCTCCGACATGGACTGAAGTATATCTTGATTAGATCTCTCATCCATAAAAATACCCATAATCAAGGTAGTCAAAAGCGCTCGCCCCAGCGCTTAAGCGCACCAGGCGCAGCGAGCAGGGCCTTCAGCGCTTGGGAGAAGGGGAGGCGCACGTACCTGGGTCAGGCGTAGAATAAGCGCATTAAGCGCATGAAGCGCTGAAGCGCAGGAGGCGCACGCCTGACCCGCCTGATCCAGAAAAGGCTGACAAGCCTTTTTTTTGGTTTAAAACTTTAAAAAATAATTAGCCCATATCTTTAATAACACTCGCACATCTAAATAATAGATTAAAACCATTTAAACCTACGTAAAAGCTTTAAGTAAAGTACGTAAAAACTTAAAACCTTGCGACTAAGTTATATCACTAGCCATCATCGGCTCTTCAGCCTACTCACTCTTCTGACTCAGTTGCTCTACACCAGCCAGTTCTTTCAGTTTTCTTCATCATCTTAAGCAAACTCAGTTCTCCCTCACACCACTAAACAAGATATGTGTTCTTCTTCATGCAGTCTTCTTCATCCAAATACTCTTATAGTATATTTCTATGTATATAATAAAGTACTAGTATATTACTATGTATATACTATATAATACTCTATATTACTCGTGATAATGTATTAATACTCTGCATTACTCTATTACTCACAGCACTAGTATATTGTTATGTATATAATAAAGTAATAGTACTCAATATTACTCTATATTACTCACAGCATTAGTATATTGCTTTGTATATAATAGTCATAATACTGTATTACTCTATGATACTCACAACACTAGTATATTGCTATGTTATTAATAAAGTAATAGTACTATGTAGGCTCACAAGTTTAACAAGGGGAAATAGGCTCCAATTTGATTGTCTTTTATTTATAGTTTTAGTATTAAAGCCATGAATTCTGAATTTGGTGTTTTATTTTTTGTAAATCATGACTTTATTTTGGTGAATCCTGGATTTTATATGCATTTGGTTCAATATGATGTTACATACATCATATTTGGTAATTATAGAATAGTATATGTTATTTTATCTAAGTAATGCGCTTCATCCGAGTCAGGCGAGCGCTTTATTTGCGCCTTGCGCCTCAGGCGCTGGAAGGCCCCTAGCGCTTCAAGTGCGCCTTTCGACTTTGACTACCTTGCCCATAATTCATTTGTTTGTTTTGAAAAATTATAGTATTTCATTCAGACATTTCATTGAACAACTAATTTCCTATATAGGATCCAACATAAACACCTTCCTAACAAAACCTGACCTGCCAATATCGGCGGGCATATGAAGTTTCCCCCCTAGGTGTTTGCTAGTTAGAGAAATGTAAAGTGTAATTTGTCACCCGTGCTTGCATCTTGGCCCATCATTGATAGATTAACTCCTTTAGCTTCCCCATATCCATGGTACTTTTGCTTCTGTCAATTGTTCATGTTTTGATAAGTTCTTTGTTGTTTCTTTTCATTGTAGATGTAGCTTATATATCTGATACAAGACAGAAGCAGGTGGTGCTTTGAGCAAAATTAAATGGGGGAGAGGATATACAGATCTTTTTAAGTAAAATCAATATATATATATATATATATATATATAAGAGAAACTTTTTAAGAGCATACATCCATCATATATAACAATTATTTAGTTATTTTTATACTCCGTACCTTTTATTTTTATTGGATTCTATTTTTGATTGCATATTGATATGGAAACAAATGACTCTAGATTCCGTCACTTTTGAAATAGATCGATTCCTAATCTAAATTAGGAAATCTTTATATGTTTACAAATTCCTAATTTTGTTTACTCTTAAGATGTTTTTAATTTGATTGATTTCAGTCTCAGACTAAATCAGATCTGATCAAACTTTAATAATAATTGGACACATAAAATGTAAAACATAAATCTACCAGATCATATTACTTTAGACCAAATCAAAGCTGAAAATTTTAATTCAATTAAAAATGTCCTTATTAATGACGTTTTCAATGTGATGAAATAATAAGTAAAATGTAAAATCTTACTATTAAAAGTATGTACTCCATATTTCATACCAAGTTCAATGAGGAATATTAAAAAATATATTTTGAGGCGCATAATAAAGTAATTTAGAGGACATGAAAATAATTAAGAAGCTTCTCTATGAATTCTTTAAAATCGGGTTCATAACAATTATGCTTAGTAGAGAAGCTTATGTAGAAGACCATTCATACTATTTTTCATATAATTTTTATTTATTTAACAAATGGAATATTTTTTTTCATGATTCGGGATATTCACCTATTCAACCTATTCAGCTAGAATTTAATTAATTTCAGCAAAATAAACCGATTCCACCAATATTAGTATTATCAAACGGACTCTATATTTAGACTGAGTTTATTTTGCGTCACATTATATATGATTATGAAAATCAATCAAATTTTAAATTAGATAAATTACATACCGCCCGTGCATCGCACGGGCTTGAAACCTAGTAAATAAATATCAATAATGACACATTGACTCATATATAAAACACTATTTCTTTGGTGGAGAGAACACATAAGCATTTAACGGATCCAAATGGTCGGAATTGGACGGATCATAGTTTTGTCTTGGATACTGAAAAGATGCCCTGCTTTTAAATAATTTTGTATACAATGGACTAATTTTGTCACAACCTCTAAACATTGGATTTTTTCGTGTAATAATTCTTTTATTTTTATGTTTTTTAGAAATATCAAATATGCATGTGCTCTTGTGAATAGAATACCACATGGTTATGTCTTAAGATTGCAACTAAAGGTGATCTTTTGGGTGGTTGTCATGAACTACCATTTCACCTCTCTCATTCACTCATCCAAATAATTTATTTTCCCATTTCAGTTGTTTGGTATCGCATTTGTGAGCTTACAACTAGTTGCTATCTATTGTTGCTAGATATATAATCACTGGCTATCAAATATCAAGGATTGGTGTATTAGCCGTCAACTATGGTGGGGACATCGCATACCTGTATGGTATATTGCTGGTAAAGACCCTGAAGAAGACTATGTAGTTGCCAGAACTGCAGAGGAAGCTCTTGCCAAGGCTCAAGAAAATTATGGAAAGAATGTTGAAATATATCAGGATTCTGATGTTCTTGATACCTGGTTTTCAAGGTTGGTTCTGTTATTTTTCTACTGATATTCTTGACCTTTTGAAAGATTCTGAACGTTGTCTTACATGCCTGTGTTTGCATACAAATATACAATAGTAATACTAATTATGATAACAGGTTATTGAGTATGTTCATGGCACACATGATAAGGGACAATTAATGTGCTTCTTTTTAAGGTTTGTAAGAGGATTTGATAAATGTATGAAAAAATAAATGTAATATAAATAATTGATACAATTGATACAGTACTCTTTAAATTGTATACATTCATCACCTCTATCATGGATAATTATGAAAATGATAAGCATTAAACACTCACTATGCATTAAACACCCATGGGCACATTTGAAAGAAATTCTTATAAAAGTTATAATAATATGAAAAATAACAATACAGACAAAAGTAGTAGTAGTAGTAATAAGGGAAAAATAATTTAAATATCCCAAACTTTGGAGGGGTGTAAGGTAAATACCCCAAACTTACATATGTAATATAAATACCTCGAACTTCATATAAAATGTTATGTTAGCAGTTAGCACCATGACCATATGTTTTTTCTTTCGTAAAATGTGAGTTTATGGTGTTGAATAAATAATTTAAATACATTTGGCATTTATGAGAGTGCACTTAATATTCTTAGCTTCTATTTGTGATGAGAGTGCACTTAATATTCTTAGCTTCTATTTGTGAAATAACTAATATTGCCTCCGATCTGTATAGTTGCAATACTTTTAATTTGATACTTGTCAATACACATTTTTGACCCTTAACATTGACTATTAGTGAATATCACGGAGTATAAAAAGTCAGATTTTAATTTTTTATCAGAGATTTTTTAATAATCTTTTGTATAAGAAAGCTGTGTAATACATCAATGAATAAAATAAAATCAAAGTAGAGTGTGTGAATAATGTAAAACCCAATTAAATATGCTAATAAGGAAAGACATGTGATGGCAAATACTAAAGTAAAAGTGTTGCAATTATATAGAGCGGGGTAATATTATTTATTTAACAATGGGAATTTAGAATGTTAACTGTACCGTCATAAACGCTAAGAATATTTTAAATTGTGTACTTAACACCATAAATTTAAATTCATGAAAGAAAAAAATATGATCATAGTGCTAAGATAACTTATTGCATGAAGTTCGGGGTATATATAATATATACTCCGTACACAAGTTTGGGGTACGTACACCACGCCCCTCCAAAATTTGGGATATTTAAATTATTTATCCCTAATAATAATAATAATAATAGTATAATACTAATAATATAATAATACTAATATAATAATAATAAATGGGGTAATTGGCTCTGATTTTGTGTTTTTTATAGAATCAGACTTTCGTACTTTATGAGGAATTGATTGTTCTGGGAGATGGGGCATATAATTTAATCATAGTAAGTGTTTGATAGAGTTGCATTCTACTTCATGTGATATAATGTACTCCATCTTTTTTTAATATACTGAACACATGAGTACATATTTGTATCATATTTTTTACATACTGGATCTTAATGTACTTGTTTTATCCAACCATATCTTCCAGTAAGAGCTTCACCGCTTCACGGTTATGACCATGTCTTCTTGCATATTAGCTTACTCAACATTTTTAACATGAATATCTAACTCATAACTTTTAGCTTTCCTTTTCTATCAACACATTTTCATCTTTCTTACTTTATCAAACTTTTGAGCTCAATTTGACACATATCATAATAAGCACTTGGAAAAAAATGAATTGCTTTGTTATATTGAGGTATTAGTGATATCGCATGATCACCTAAATACTATGTTGCACGGAAACGCGAATATCATGAGGAAACGGTAAACGGGAAACGTCAACTTTTCCTCAAAAAAGGCTTGTTTGGAGAGTTTCCAAAGAGTTTCCGAAACGGAAACCGAAACGGAAACGTACTCTTTCCCGAGAGTTTCCGTGCTACATAGCTTAAATAACATTTCACTGGAGCCACTAGGTACCATACTTGAAGTTCTCCATAGGTATTCCAAAGCTCTTACCTGGTCCACTTTGATGATTGACGAAACATGCATAAAGTGAAGCCATATTCCAAAGTTGAAAAATAAAAAAAGGCATTGCTAATTTTGCTCCTTAAGTTTGTGCAGGGATTTGTATTTAATGTTAATCCATCTGACTAAAGTCTTATTTTTTTTTTTCTTTAAGCTCGCTCTGGCCCTTCAGCTCTCTTGGTTGGCCTGATGAATCAGCTGAGGATTTCTCGCGTTTCTATCCAACATCGATAATTGAAACTGGGTACCTTTTATTTGTATTGTTCTTCTCTTGTTTTGTTTTACAATTGGTCGTGGAAACTGGAAAATAGTTCTTTTGATGATAAAGTTTTCTGTGAGAGTGTAATTAACATATTATCTTTATGCTAATTGCTTTATTTGTATTTATTTTTACTCATTGACTATTTGTATTTCTCCTCACATCCTAACAGGCACGATATATTGTTCTTTTGGGTTGCACGTATGGTGATGATGGGAATAGAACTAACAGGAACTGTTCCATTTACAGATGTTTATCTTCATGGGCTTATTCGTGACACTCAAGTGAGTTTTGTTGTCGGTCCCAACATGCTGATTTTGAATTTACTTCCCCAAAATGGCAATTAAGATGCATATCTGCTGAGATATGTTAGTTTTTGTTAGGCCTAGGACCGGTTCGGTTCCTAGGCAGTAGGCAAAATAGATGGAACCGTTTGAAAAATATCAAATCTTAATAATAGTTCTTATATAATTTTTTTATGGAAACGATATGGAACCGAACCCTTCAAATTTTAACGGTTCGGTTCTTGTCATTAAGGTTCCTAGTTTTTAATAAAACTTTTACAAATCACCGTTAAATTTGTGCCAAATAAACATTCAACGTTTGAAATTACAAGAAATACAAATATGTTTACCATCATTTCAAACCTCGAAAGTTGAGTTTATAACATAAATACATACCAAACTGAAAATTTTAGTAAATAAAACAAAACAACATATTCACTACAATCAATAATTATGTTCTTGAATGAGCAACGTAATTAGCCAGAAAAAAAAGTTCATTGATCTCAAGGGTCACGAGCAAAGCACTCAATTCCAACCATCTAGGCCTCTAATAAGATGCCTTAGAGCTTAGAGGAACCGTTCAAATAAATAATAATGTTGAATACTTAAATAACTAAATTAAAATAGACAGTGTAATATAAAAATAAATAAGTGAATATACATTAAAATATAGAGTGAGTTACCTAAATAGGACTAAAAAATGGCCAAAAAGCACAAATAGGACTTCATTTTTTAAATTCCCCTCAGTAGGACTATTTATGTGTGTTTGGACAAATATACCCTGGTAGCTTTTGAAATATTTTAATTAATAATAAAAGCGTACAAAACCAATAAAAATCGTAAAAAATAATAAAAAATTAATAAAATAAAAATTGAAATTTTTTAAAATAAAAAATTAAAAAATTAAAAAAAAAAAAAAAAAAACCGCCGCCTCTGCTACCCCATCACCACCAGCTCCGATCACTGGAAGAAATTTGCCAACTTTTTTAGTAATGCCATAATAATGGTAGATTCATTGAAAACTTTGGCATTATCAATAGTAATAATGCTATTTTGTAGGCATTTTCAGAAAAAATGGCATTTTTTTTTACAAAAAATGGAATAATTTTCACCAATCGGAGGTGGTGGTGTTGGGAGGCGGTGGGAAAGGTATCCTTTTTTTATGGGTTTTTACTTTTTATTACTCCCTCCGTATTTTTATGTTCACTACATTAGGTTTGACACATTATTTAAGGAGTAAAGTAGTAGGGGTAATGAATAGTGTAGAAAAAGTAGGAGTGAGTGTAAAAGTATGAAAGAGAAGATAAAAAGTAGAAAAAGCAAGGGTAGTTGAGTATTTTATGAAAGGTAAACTTACCAAAAATGGGAGTGTAGCAAATTTTTAAACACATCCCAAAAAGGAAAGTGTAGCAAACATTAAAATACGGAGGGAATATTTTTTTTTAATTTTATTTTTAAATTTTATTCTATAAATATTTTATTTATTTTTTAGTTTTTTATGATTTTTTATTATTTTTTACGATTTTTTTAATGATTTTATTATGAATTTAAACATTTCATTATGAATTAATCTCCTTAGGGATATTTAGGGTAGAAAATCAATGCTTAGTCCTACTGGGGGGAGTTTAAAAAATAGTAGTCCTATTTGTGCTTATAGGCAAACTTTAGTCCTATTTAGGACAATTTCTATAAAATATATATACTAATAAAAATATATAAAATTTTAATTATTATATATAACGGTTCCTTAACGGTTCCAAATACATATCTTTTCAGGAGCCGAGAACCAAACCGTTAATAAGAAATAGGAACCGAACCATTAACAAGTAATTAATAAATGTTGGAACCAAACCGGACTGGGTCATAACGGTTCGTTCCGGTCCGGTGCTTTGGTTCTTGGTTCCGAAGTCCCGGCCCTAGTTTTTGTTCAGAACTTCCCCATTTTTGACTTGCAAATTATCTGTTGAGCCACGTCTACGACATAAGTACATATCCACTAAGTCAAACCAGACTAATTGTGTTGCTGCATCCGTTTGTGAAATGTCCGTGTTTCCTGTATTCACCCCATTTCTTGATTATTTTTAACATTGCTTCAGGGGCGAAAAATGTCAAAAACTTTGGGTAATGTGATTGATCCTATTGACACTATCAAAGAGTATGGGACAGATGCTTTACGCTTCACACTTTCTTTAGGGACTGCTGGTCAGGTTGGCATGAACTATTTATGCTCTGAAATGCGAATAGGTTAAGTTTCTTTAGGGACTGGATAATTCACTAACCAGTCTCTGTTTTTTTATATTTAAATTTGTTTTAGGATCTTAATTTATCTGCAGAAAGGTTGACTTCTAACAAGGCATTCACCAACAAATTGTGGAATGCGGGCAAGTTTATACTGCATAATTTGCCTTGCCAAGATGATGAAGCTGCCTGGAATGTTATACTGGCCTGCAAGGTGTCCCTATTGTCTCTCTTTTGTATTAAAAGCTACTCTGTATTTTTTATGAAATTTCAAATTTATTAAAATGGACTGCGGTTGATGCATCACAGTTCAACGATATGGATTCGATGCTGAAGCTACCATTACCAGAATGCTGGGTGGTAAGTACATATGTAGATTCAATGAAAGGCTAGAATTTCATTCTTTATCTGTTTAATGGACAGTGTATATATCAGGTTTCAAAACTTCATGCGCTTATTGATGCGGTCTCTTCAAGTTACGAAAAGTTTTTCTTTGGAGACATCGCTAGGGAAGTGTATGATTTCTTCTGGGCTGAATTTGCTGACTGGTATGTTCATTCCTTGGAAGATTAATACTTATTGGTTTTTGACTTTTGTATGTTTGCTATGCTATGATCTAAATGAATTACTAAATAAGTGGGTGTATAAATTTTCATTTATTTGTAGAAACTTGAAGTTGTTACTCTCCTCCCCCGTATCCTGCCAAAATTGTTTTATTTAATATTGAGAAACAAAACTAAATCCTTTTCTCATATCAATGAAAGGTTAGATAATTTTTTCCCTCTTATTATAAACTATACAGGCATTGTAGGGCATTGTTATCTGTTTGGGGTGTTCATTTTAGGAAAATGAAAAATGTTTTGGGGCATACTAGAAAGGGAATCTGTAAAACCTTTCATGTGATGGGGGTGGGGAATTATTCTCGGGATACACTGCATATCTCAATCTCAGACAAAAGGTTTAGCGGATAGTCATTAGGAAGTGCTAAATGTCCGAGCTAACTTGGTGTACTTTAATATTTGCATCAGTTGATATAGAAGGTGCTAAGTGTGTTAAATTACTTAAATACTCAATTTTGGGATCTTAGCTGCCATGCAAAAGAATGATTTGATTTTCCTTGGTATTTATGTCATTGATGGTTAAGTTGATTTCTTGGTTAGATATTGGATTTGAAGGTTTAGCTGTTAGCCATTGCGAAGTGGTAAGTTAGTTATTCTAACTTGGATATTGGATTTAACAGTGTTGTTGCATATCCTTTTTTGGGCAATGAATAAAAATCAGTGAAGTCAATTAATAGTACAAATGTTTGACGACGACAACAACAACAACATCCAAGCCTTAGTCCCAAAAGATTTTGGAGTCGGCTAACATGAATCGATACATGATATTGGAACCAAAAGGAAAAGACGGATAAGAAAAATAAAAATGATAAACTATGATAAAACGATAATATAAAAAGAGACGGGATATACATAAAGAGATAGAATAAAAAGGATAAAAAGAATATATATATATAATTATATATATATATATATAATTAAGATAAAAGGATAAAAAAACAAAAACAAAGGAAAGAAAAAAAGATTAGGAGGAAAAGATGATGAGAGATCACTCTGCACATGAATACCCGCTCTTCACTTTGCTCTCTCCAAAGCCATACCCTCATCCAACCCAAGAAGAAGCATATCACTCCTGGCTCCTCTAATTCACGTCTGTTTGGGTCTTTTTCTCCCTCTCTTCCTTGCTTCCTCTCCACCCCTCTCAACTCATTTGACAGGTGCATCACTCGACCTACTACACATATGACCAAACCACCGCAAGTGAGACTCTCGCATCTTATCTTCAATAGGTGCTACTCCCACCTTTTGTCTGATTGTCTCATTCCTCAAGCGGTAATTTCTAGTATGTCCACACATCCAAAGCAGTATGCCCATCTCTACCACACACATCTTTTGAATGTGACATTGTTTCACCCATAGAAACATAAATCGCTGAAACAGCCGCGAACTACGTTCCGAACGCCGCGTACCCAAACGCGGTACGCAAGCGTTCCAAACGCTATTCGGATCGTTATGTAAAACGCTGCTGCAGGCATAAGAGACGCTTCCCGAATCGTTCCCCATCGCTAACCAGTTCGTTCCTCATCGCTAACTGGAGTCAATCCGTGACGGCATAAGAGACGCTCTAAATCGCGAATCGCGAAGAATCTCGCTGTTTCCGCAGCCCTACCAGTATGGTCGCAATTATAAACAAAACTGAATCGTCGTAGTACTACTTTGAGACGTGCAGGTAATAATTTCTGTACTCCTCGTTTCAAACGCCTGTAGTAATAGGCGTATTAAAATTATACAGCCCTTCGTTTTCTGGCCCCAATTATTCATACTCATCAATTTTTACATTTTAATTAACTCTTATAAATTGAGGGAAGATGTCTTTGTAGTACTGTTTTTTTGTTTTGCTTGAAATGTTTCTTGAATATTAATGTTTTTTCTTTTGTTTAATGTTATGAAATCATGTTATGAAATCTGTTTTTGTTCAATGTTGAAATCTGTATTATATAATTCAATTTTATATTTTTATTATAGTACCGAAATATTAGGTACCGCGTACCGAACATATGATACATCGTACCGAAATGAACCTACCCCCTCCGAATCGGATACGCTAGATCTAGCGAACCGCGTTCCCGTTCCTCGTTCCCGTATCGAAATATTAGGTACCGCGTACCGAACATATGATACATCGTACCGAACGCGTACCGAACGCGTACCGAAATGAACCTACCCCCTCCGAATCGGATACGCTAAATCTAGCGAACCGCGTTCCCGTTCCTCGTTCCCGTTCCTCGTTCCCGTATCGAACCGTACCGCGAACCATGTGACTATTGTTTCACCGTCCAACACTCTACGCTATACAACAATGTGGGGCTTAATTGTTGTCCTATAAAATTTACCCTTTAGTCTAGTCGGCATACCTCGATCGCATACAATAAAAAATTATTATCTCTTCAATGCATATTGGATTTAATTGTTTGGTTTGATGGATTACTTTTGGAGCGTTAGAGGTCAGGAAAACTTCTTGATTATTAAATCAAAATCATAACATTTAAGTTTGTAATATGCATGGTCAAAATAGATTTCTTGAAGTCTTGACGAATTACCTTTTAACTTGACGCTTAATGGTTAAAGTAATACTATGTAACTATTAAGTAAAGCTGCATGATATATGTTTACCTTCTTGCATGACTGTATTTTATTGTTTATTAGGTACATCGAAGCCAGCAAAGCTCGCCTTTACCACTCTGGAGATGGTTCTATTTCTTATGTTGCACAGGCAGTGCTTGTATATGTTTTTCAGAATGTGTTAAAGATGCTACATCCTTTTATGCCATTCGTTACAGAGGAGCTCTGGCAGGTAATTCTCATGCTCAGATTACTATTTTAAGATTCCATGGTGGTAGGTGATTCTACTTTATGCGAAACAAAAGCTATTTATCTATTATTTTTTATAGATAATTTATTAGTTAGGAAATGTTTTCCTTTAATTTTCCTTTTCATTTACCATCTTGATTTCAGTGCAGGCACTGCCCAGAAGACAGGAATCTGCTCTTATTATTTCGGCATGGCCTGAAGATTCACTTCCAAGGAGTGCTAATTCCATTAGAAAATTTGAGAACCTACAGTCTTTGGTAAGAGCTTATAAGTCATTCATCTTTTTTTATTATTATTACATCCGAGAGGGTCACAAGGCTTAGAAGGCTATTACATACTGATATCTGCTTACCTTTGGTAGAGTCCACGATACTAGGTTACAAGGCTTTTGACATGAGCTTCTATATATGTGTGTGTGTGTATAATGTATGCATACACAAAAGTATATCTTACCTATTTCATGACTGCAGACAAGAGCCATAAGAAATGCACGAGCAGAATACTCTGTTGAGCCAGCAAAGAGCATATCTGCTTCTATTGTTGCAAGTCCAGACATTAACCAATACATAAGTGTAAGCCATATTCAATATATCATCACCTAAATACACCTGTGTTTTCAAATATTCCTTTAAAGATCACAGTTCATTAAGTATACTGCTTAATTCGACTAGGAAGACAGTGTTTCAATATGAATTTCTCAAATCCTACATTTTTTATTTTGCAGACATTTATCAAAATATCTGTTTGGTTATTTGGTTTCCAATTTATTTTGCTTTTGGGAAAAAATGTAGTTATTAACTGCCAGTTATGGGTTAATGCAGAGTGAAAAGGAAGTTTTAGCTCTTCTTTCTAAATTAGATTTGCACAATATTCATTTCATGGAGTGCCCTCCAGGTATGCAACACTTATTGGAATTTCCTTTGTAGACCATATCAATCTCTAGTGATTCTGTACTAATTTATTGCCATTATGGAATAAATGAATTTCAGAAGATGCAAATAAGTCTGTTCACGTTGTTGCTAGTGAAGGTTTAGAAGCATATCTTCCACTAGCAGATATGGTGGATATCTCCACTGAAGTTCTGCGCCTATCTAAGCGCCTCACCAAAATGCAAGCAGAATATGATGCACTCAAGGCTCGTTTGAGTTCATCAATGGTAATATTTTTGGCTCATTCAGCTAATGCCTTTCTTTCTATCTTAGTATCCCCTCCTCCGTCCCTATTTCAAGTTCCTGTATTCCTTTTAGGGATGTCCCTAATTAAAGTTCCCTTTCTTATTTGGTGAAGAAAAGCTTTTCAATTTAAACTATTACCCAAGTAAACGTAAAGAAACACGGAGTACTATTTACTCTAGTAAAAAGACATTTCTGGCAAAAATCTAATATCCTTAAAACTTTGTGAAGGTCAGACTAGGATAACTTCTTTTAGTGATGAACTATTCATGACTACGTAGTACTTGGGAATTAAGATCTTCATACCTTTTATGCCATCGAAGGGCGAAGGAACCATGATTTTCTTTTCTCTGTCCCTTAATAAACTGACCAGTAGGACTTTTTAGTCAAAGTTCATTAACTTTGACCTTCATTTTTTCATAAACTATACTAGTATTATTCTATATTAAAGATAAATATTTTAATATATTATTTTGGATATTTATTCATTGTAATTTTTATTACTCTAGTAGAAAAGTGAAAATATTGGCAGTTGATTAAAAAAAGTGAATGTGCAAAGTTTATTGGAGGAACGGTTGGGCAGAGGGTGGGATTAAAAATTTCTTTACTATTGAAGGAACGGTTGGGCAGAGGTTGGGAGTAAAACTCACTTAATTTGCTACTCCGTATTAAACTATGATGAATGTTAGAAAATATGTTCAGGAAACCTTACATTTGTTCTCATTGTTTTTTTTTTTTTGGAGAAAATTTGTTCTCATTCTTAATAATGTGGCTATGGTCAATTTAATATTTGACTAGTTGTTGCACTTTACTCTAAATTTTCTTATTATGACGATGTTAATATATATGGGGTACTACACAGGGGCGGAGCCAGGATTTAGTGTCAGTGGTGTCAATTTATAAAAGATTATCTATGCCTAATTGCCTATAATAGAATTTTTACTTTTCAGTGGTGTCAATGGACACCACACCTCAAAGGGTGGCGCTGCTCCTGGTACTACATGTATAAATAGGTGTATATATGTGTGTATGTGTGTGTGCGCGTGTGTGTGCGTGCGCGCGCTCATGCATGTGTGTATCACTTATTTTCTAAACTTATAAGTCAATAATTAAATAAATGTATTGTTCCTTATGCAGTTTATGGAGAAAGCGCCGGAGGAAATTGTGCGTGCTGTACAAGAAAAGGCAGCCGAAGCCGAGGAGAAGTTAATGCTAACACGAAGCCGCTATGATTTCCTTAGATCAACAGTGGAAAATTAATTTTTGACACTACAATTTACATATTTTTTTGTACAAGTCAATTGTGATTTTGTGCAAGTAGTACTATGTATATTATATTACTATTATATTAGACGATTTAGTTCCTTTTGCTTTGTGTTTAATACGAAGTATAAAATTTTGAGATAAACTCCATTCGATTAAATATAATTCCAGCCTCATTTAATTGTCATTTATTTCTTACCCACAATTTGGGGTAACTAGCCAACTAGGTGCGGACCTGCGGTTTATCTATCTTTCAATATGCCGTACACCCGTATGTACTGTGCACATGGTACAACATGCTCTTTTTGGGCTTTGCGCTTCGTTTCACATCAGAAGGATCCAACTTCGCACCAAGCTTCGCACCAGCATCTCTAGGCTTGGACTCGGGCCGGTTCGGGCCCGGTCGGGCCTTCGGATTACAGGTGGGCCCGGGTCGGGCCGGGCCTCTTTTTAATATTTTTTTACTTTTCCTAATTAACCCCCCAAACCATCCCAAATAGCCCACAAAATACCCAGCCCAACCTGAAAAGTAAAAAAAAAATTGAAAAAAGAAAAATTAAAAAGCATGGAATCGGGCTTGAACAGGCCGGGTCGGTTCGGCTTTTGGGTGACCCGAACTTGCACCGGGAACCCCCCGGGCCGGGCCTATACAAAATTTAATTTTATATTCAAATATTATGAAAAATTATAATATAAATAACCATACAAAAATTTATTAAATGTCACATTTTATTTTTTCTCTCTATCCAAACAAACATCTAACTTATTTTTTTTTAATTTATGTATTATAAATATTTTAAATATTAATGTTTTATTTTTCTATTTTTAATTTAACATGAGTTTTGTGTTATGCTTAAATGTGTATAGTGTTAAAATAAATATGCATGAGTAAACATTATAAAAAGAACGTCATTATATTTAATGTGACAATTTATTTTGAATCACACATCTCTATAAAGGTGGTTGTTAGTAAATATGTCTTGTATGAGTTCGCACTTCCTTGAAACTTCTGTCTCATAAAATCTAGAGCAAATTGTAGCCATCCGGGAAGTCTTCCAAATTAGAGGCACATAGTCTACTAACTCTATCTTGCCATGATAGGTTAACTTCATTGACCTTTATATTTTTATAATGGTGTTGCATCCTGAAAGATATTGCCCATCATGCATCTACGAATTTACGCATCAGATAACATACATTGCTGAATTATGTTATATAACTAATCATAGAAAAAACTAAAATAAATACGTGAGTAAAGCAAAGTTGTAGAATATGTGCATTTTGTGTAATAAAAAATGTAAAAAATAGTTTTCAACTTTTAGCTTTTAAATATTTAATTTAAGTAGAAGTCGTAACCTGAAAACACTAATTTTATCTTTTTAAACCAAAAGCTGAGAAACATTTTTTAGTGTTCAATATACAAAAAAAGAATAAAGCAAAGTTGTACAGAAACCTACGTAATTAGATCAACCATTTTAAGATTAGTATAGAGTAGAGTTCACAATGTCCAAATTGAGTGTTAATCAGTGGATTTGAGTTCTACCCATTAACCTGATCGATCAATTCAGTCTACTTATTATTTTTATTTGCATGTGACCTATTGTCAATAAAATATGTATAAAATTGATTTTTATTATTGTCCTTTGAAATTAAAAAATAGAAGGTTTTAATTTGTAAGGGTTTATGTATATCAGAGCATTAACTTACATATATTATTGTTCGAATTATGTGCCTATTTAGTTTGACGTGGTTCTTTCCGTTTTTTGTTCTTTGCAATAGCATTTTGTTACCTACAAACAAACTGGACCATTCACAACAAGATTCCTAAAATAAAAGTATGTATCCCTATCATGTATATGTCAATCACATTTACGGTAATCTAAATATTTGAACACATTAATCGCAATCTTTAGAAGACTAAAAGCAGCTATTACGATATGCAAATGAAGGTCTAAATGAAAAACTTAATGACATTAATTTCAATAATTTAATAAAATTCTCATTTTATTTATGAAATAAGATTCATCACTTATTTCGAATGTAAAAGAAGCTAACTATTTTTTTACGAAACATACATGTTTCGTAACACTGATATTTATGAAGTTCTGGTTGAAGTGACTATATTGACTGAAATCGGCTGAATCGGCTGTTTCTGCTGATATTTATGAAGTTCTGGTTGAAGTAACTATATTGACTGATTCTGCTGATTTATGAAAATTATATATTAACTATATTTTATTAATAAGAAAAAATTATATTAAAAATAGCTAAAATGATCCTCTACAGTAACTTCAGTCAATACAGCTAGAAAATCAACTTCAACCTTACTTTTTCTTATTATTACACAATTCTGCACGCGAAATCAAAAGTTACATGTTTGGTGAAAAAGTTGGCTGATAAACAGGTTCATCAAACGGGCTGATTGTCTAACAAAAAAGAAACATGTTTAACCTCAATCTGCTAGTAGCCTAGTACGTAAGAAAATAATGGAGGTAAGAAAGGCAAAAGACTACAGAGTATTTTAGTGAAGAAAAATAAAGGGGTAGATTATGAATATTGGGGAAAGGCCAAGCCTAAAGCTATGTTTTCTAGATTTTTCAATTTTAAATGTTTGAAATAAAAAGCCAAATGAAAATGTCATTTAACCAAATACATTATTATTATCTGATGAATCTAGTTAAAAAACCAATCATGATCCAAACAACCAAAAATGGGCTGATCCACCGAACACCCTCTATATTCACTATCACTAATAACTAATCAAGGCAATGTGAGCTGTTGTGCGTAACTAGTCTATCGTATAACAGTCCGTATATCATGATACCGGTCCACTATGAGCATCATGCCTCAAGGATAAAACACGGATGAACAGTACCCTCAGATAATTAAACAATAACTTTTTATTTTGTATTCCAGTAGCAGGGTGATGTAATTCCCGTTTAAAAAAATGCAACTCACGTTGATAGGAAATGTAACTTGAGTCAACTTTAAATGTAAGTGGTCTAAAACGAAATATAAGAAAAAACTAAATTGATTTCAATGTAAAGAATGAAAAATTGATCCTAATTACTCAATTACTTTTGTAATTAGCGAATATGTTTTATTTTTAATATTAGGGCCATAACAATGATATAATTAAATAGAATATATATATATATATATATATATGTATATATATATGTATATATATATATATATATATATATATATATATTATAAACATTGATTTCAATGTAAAATTGATACTAATTGACCAATTACTTTTTGTAAACACTGAATAAGTTTTTTTTAATATTAGGGCTATAAAAATGATATAGTTAAAACAGTTTTTTTCGTAGTGTAACTCACGTACATTAAGATGTAACTCACGCATAAACAGATGTAACTCAAGCATAAGAAAATGTAACTTCATATAATATTAAATGTAAACATTGAAAAAAGGAGTTTAATATTTTTCAATTAATTTACGTAAATAGTGAATATGTTTTGTTTTTAATATTAGGGCCATATATAAATGTTTTAAAGAGAGAAAACAATTCAAAAAAAATATTTTTTCCCCCCAAAAAATCTTTTTTTACATTTTTTTTTGTTTCAATAGCATGAGTTTATTTTGTTATGTAACTCGTGTTATGAAAAATATAACTCGCATTGATGGAAAATTTAACATAGGTGTATGCAAAATGTAAATTGTTGAGGCAAATCCAAATGTAACTCACCCATAGAAAGATGTAACTCACCCATAAACAAATGTAACTCGTGGACAAGAAAATGTAACTCCATATACTATCAAATGTAACTCCAGAAATTGTAACATAATTCACATATATGAAAAATGTAATCTCATATTTTATCAAATTTAAATCGAAATAAATAAACTTAATGTCTTAAAAAACTACAAACATATCAAAGAGATAAAAAATACATTATAAAATTAAAGAAGTGTATGCATATGAAAAATATTTTACAAAAAAGGTGTATAAATGAAAAAAAGTATTACACCAAAAATAAATTTAGTAATAAATTGGTAATTAAAGAAAAAAGTTAAGAAATTTAGTAATAAATTGGTAATTAAAGAAAAAAGTTAAGAAATTTAGTAATAAATTGGTAATTAAAGAAAAAAGTTAATTCGATTTTAATTTAATTAGTTAAAGATAAAGATAAATAAATCACAATTAGTTTTTAGTGTTTTCATGGAGGTGAAAATAATTGGAGAAAACAAAAAAGAAAAATAAAGAGAGGAAATAGTGCTCCAAACAAACCTGGAGGGCATGAAGGAAAAGAAAAGAAACGTACGTAATGCTTCAAAAATGAAAAAACGACACAGTATGTGATACTGGTATACCATGCACATGGTATACCAGTACCACGGTATAATTTGCGCGCCGTCGTATACTATGTATATAGATGAATTTTTTTAATAAGTGGTTTCTCTATATAAAGGAATTCTATTAGGATAATTATTAAGATCCGGAGTTCTATCCTAAGAGGTCAACTTGATAGGAGGAGTAACTTAGATCTTAATATAGTGTTTAATTCTTTTAGAAATATCTGGTGTGTGACTTTAATACCCCTCCTCACGACCAGACACTTCGTTTGGATCGTGCCATCATTCATTTTTAGTCGGTTCATCATTGTCATTTTTTTTAATCGTGCCATCATTTTTCATAAGGATACCCACACCATGAATCGATTTGGCTCTGATACCATATTAAGATCCGGAGTTCTATCCTAAGAGGTCAACTTGATAGGAGAAGTAACTCAGATCTTAATATAGTGTTTAATTCTTTTAGAAATATCCGGTGTGGGACTTTAATAATAATAATAGAGGTAAGTCGGTAGCCCTGATTAGCCTTCTAAAATGGGGAAATGGACTTGATCGTCATATGCCCTAAATGGAAGTAAGTAGATTTTGAAATTCTAAAATAGCACTGCTATGTTTTCCTTCCCAAAATAGGAGTCGTTGTTGGCATGATTGAAAAATACTGTCACTAACAACATTAAATACTAATCATGTCATGTTAATGCCAAGTACTGCAACTATTAGGCAGTAATGACTCTAAGATAGGAGTAAATATTGTCATATTACTTTTGTTTCGAAAAAAAACACAAGAGTTTTATTTAGAAATTCCAAAACTTGTTTAATCATATTTCGGGAAGTTTCCCCTTTCTCTCTTTCTCTTTCTTTTATCTTTTTATCTTCATTATTTTTCTCATGTTCTTATGTTGTTTTAATTTTTATCTTTTCCCTATTGTCATATTATATTTCTTATTTAAGAATAGAGGTATTGTGTATCTATCTTTATCTTTATTTTATCAGTTTTATTTTATCTTATTCTTTTATTTTTCTCATCTTTGTTTTTCAATTTAACTCCGATATCATGGATTGATTAATGTTGGCTTACCTCAAAAAAAATTGGAATAAGGCTTGGAGTATAATGGATTATGGATGTTCTATAAAAAGAATCATAAAATTACATCTGTTAGTGTGATTTTTGAAGTTTGTTCCTAACATATATCTAAGCGTACACATATTGTTATTGTTTGTCAGGAATTTCATTTCCATTTAATTTCTAAATACACTGATGAAAGATTGGAAGTATGCAGCACTTCTCATAATTCTAAGTTAATTTAATTTGGACATCAACCATAACACAATTACATGCATTGCGAGTTAATATTAATATAACAAAATCTCTGGTAGACACAACAAAAATCCTATCTAGCTTGTTGTATACAGTATACATTCTCTCGCTAGCTAATTTTTATTCCCAAACTAGATTTAGTTTCATCACACAAACCTATAAAAAAAATTAAGCTAATAAATAAATAAATAAGAATAAAGATAGCTAGAGACAACTTGAAGGCTCGATTGGGCCAAAAGCCTTTCCGGCAACGTATGCACAAGAGGCCCGAGCATGTTTGTGTTTGAAGCCCAGTTTCACGTCCTTCAACCTTATCCCCTCGCATGGGTTCACCTTGCTACACTCAAACTTCACCGCCACCTCGCTTGCAGAAGTTCCCTTTATCTTTTCGTACGTAATGTCACTGATCTTTACCCCTGAATCCTGTTTAATTTAGTTTCCAAAATATCGTATTATTCAAAAGCGTTATTAATTACGTTAAGAACACTATATATAATTCTTGTTTGATCATATATACTTTGACTTCAATAGAGAAAGTGAGAATTCATTTCAGAACAAAAGTAGCTAGTACTCCATCTGTTCAGAAATAGCAAACAATGTAAAGCTATATGATTAAGATTTGAGTAGAAAAGGGTGAAATGAAATAAGCCACCTATTGTTGTTAAAAGAATCTTTTGGGACTAAGACTTGAATGTTGTATTTTTGTTAAAAGATGAAACAAGACATTTATTTTAGAACATCCCAAAAAGAAAAACATGACAATTATTTCAGGACGAAGTAGTCTTATACTATCGTATATGTTTGTATCTATATATGCTTTAAAAAAACAAATTAAAGATGTGCTAATATACTCCATATTTATTAAGACTTGAAGTTCCGTTTTAAAATGAAACAACATAGCAATATGCAATATGCTAATAATTTCAATACCCCAAACTTTAATTTGAAGAGTTATGATGTAATCACCCAAACTTTCATATGTAATATAATATATATACCCCGAACTTTATATAAAAAGTAATATTAGCACTGAACATTTTTTTCCTTTCACAATGTAAATATATGACACTTTAACTACGTACACTTCTAAAAATGTTTAAGTATTTTACTATTTTAAACCATGTGTTTAACACCATAAGTTTACATTTGAGGTGTATATATTACGTATGTAAATTTGGGGTGTTTACCCCTTCACCCCTTTAATAAATTAAAAAAATGTACCTGACGTGGACAATTAACATGACCAGGACAATAGTTTTGGTCAATAAGAATGGGGTTTTGGACATTGAGCATGGTCAAATCTTGGAAAACCACTTTTTTGACGAATCCATTGCTGGGTTTGCCCCAGGCTTTTATTCTCACACCGTTTTGTGTGTCCCTGAACACAGCTGTTTTCAATGTCACATTCTCTACCCCTTCTTCTTGTAAATCTTTGGCTAAACTTCCAATGCTGCGCTTCAAAGAAGTGTACAATCAACTAACTGTTAATTTCTATACAAAATCCAAATTGGTTAATCTAGAAATGGCATTACTTTTCTGAATTATTGTGGACATATCTAGCTTGTTCTATCCTACAACATGAGGCACGCCTACTACGACCCACAGAAAAAAAACTTATAAGTTGAAGTTTATAACACCAATTCTACAACAATAGTTTTTTTACAAGAACACTGAGAAAATTGGAACAATAGTTGCTCCGCCTTACTACTTGCCACATGAGGCCCTACAACATAGGTAATTAAGCTTGAACAAAATCTTGTTGTATAATTATTTATATCACACTTCCCAATTTATAGCTGCCTTCCCAATTCAATTGTATTTTAAGTTCAAATTTTATAGACATATTTTTATAAAAAAATCCCATAGGGGCCCACCACAAACAGAGGCCTCCGCACGACGATTCTGATCAAGAGCTCCTGATACGAGCTGCCGTATATATGTGCTTCGATTCAGATAAGAACACATTTTTCAATGATAAATGAGAACGATTCAAAACGATACACATGCATAATGTTTCATGGAGGTGCACATATATGGTTAAAAGAATGTACAATTCAAATGTGCACATTTGTGGTTAAAATAATACACTGTTCATATATATGCACAATGCATAATATCTAAATTAAACCCAACGCTTCAGAATCAGGGGCGGAGCTAGGGGGTGCCCAGGCTAGGCCCTGGCCCACCCCAAATTTAAAAAATGCAAATATTTTTAGTGTAAAAAATTTCGTGTAAATTGTTTTCCAATAATATTTTTTGTACCGGCCCGGTCTGACCCAGTGCCCTAGCTCCACCCCTAAATCAGAATCATTCTCATTTTTGTTCTTAGGCGACTACATTCTCACTTGAACCAAATTATATACTCGATCGTGTGTGTATATATCCCACATGACATGACAATATTTTTTGTTATGTAGAAGTCGTATACACTAGGTATATATAGAAAAAAGGTAGCATGTATATAGAGAATTGAGGTACCTAGCTACCTGATTCCATGTCCGGGTCCACAAGACAGGTTGTGCATCCACAAATTGACGGTGCCGGGACCAATTGAGACGCAGTCATCTCCTGTGGCAATTTTGGAGTGTTGAATAGCAACGTTGGATGAAAACTGAATGTGAACGCCGTCCGTGTTGGGACTATCTCCCGGCGCTTCGATCTCGATGTGTTCCACCGTCACGTTATGGCACCCGTTCATCACCAGATGAAACATTTGACTACTTTGGGATATCAACCCCCTTACAACTATGTTTTTGGCATTTGTAAACGATAAATTCTGCATGTCAAAAGACAATAAAACACTATATAATGCTTTGATCTACTTCTCCTATCATATTGACGTTTTATGATGGAATCTCGGGTCTTAATATGATATCAGAGACAATTTCAGTCGTGATTTGACGGCTTGTTAGCACCCATGATTACGGGTAGTTTGTTAAGAGTCTTTTTTGCCCATTTATACACCCCGATATTGTCCGGTCCGGTTCAGGCTGAGGAGACGTGTTAAGTATTGTCCCACAACGGAAAACTATAAAACAATAAAACATTATATAAGCCTTTAAACTATTCCCCTATCAGATTGACGATGGAACTCAGGGTCTTAACATTATCAAAATTCCGTCTTTTTTGAAATCTCGTTACAAATTGCGGAGATCCTGAAGAACTGAAGTTTGATTTTCGGACGACACCATCATAGGTGCATAGTAATTTAAGTCTTTTTTTCCTTTTTGATCTTTTACATTGATCTCTTGCATAGTAATTTGCGGAGATTTCGGACTACTACATTTGTTAAGAGAGATATATTCTACCACAATAAACTAATTAAGAAACGGCTCAACAAAAACTAGCTTGGCTGGATTAATTTGTTTTATTTATCTATACCCGCGCGCGGCACGCATGCATCAATAATCATTCCCGATGGATTTTGTATGTTTATGCTCAAATGTTTAGAAGTAAGTAGCTAGCTAGCGAGCTACTAGATACATTCACTGTTATTATTCTCGTGCCTTTTGATTTAACAAAAATCCCTTTTACACCATTTTACTATTTACACAAAAAAATCACTGTTTTGATTTTACTATTTTACCATTTTACTATTTACACGTTTTTATATGCGTATGTCCAGCCATTTTTTGTATGTTAAAACACTGTTCACAGACAAAACATGTTTTGTGTGTGAACAATGTTTTCACAGACAAAATTGCCCCCACAGACACGTGTAAACAGTAAAATTGTATACAACAAGAATTTTCCTTTATTTAATTTCCGTTGGCATGTTATCAAGGCGGAGCCAGGATTAGTCATAGGGAGGCCAAGAACGAATACAAACAATAAACAGAATATTCTCTAAACATGACTAAACAAAAATAGAATTCATAAGTAGCATTATCATTGTTTTATTCTTCAAATATGACCATTTTTGGAAAGTCCTTCAAATATGACTTATTCACTCATATTTTGGCGAACTTTAATAAAATTATTTTTAATAGGATTAAATAAGATCTATTTGAGGAGTAAAACATATTTTGTCATATTTTTAGTCATATATATGTAATTATTTCATGAGGAATGATCCTGTCAAAACCACTTAACAAAATCTGCCGTCCGGCTATTTATTATTGAGGTGCTTTCGAGTGGATTTGTTTGATGAAATTTTGTGAAACTGTTATTCATGATGCGTAGATTATTTACACTAATTTCAGTTTCAAATTTAGAGAAAATTATCATGAATATTACTAAAACGTACGCAACGTATTCCCCAAACTATGAGTCGGTCAAGTTTTTTCCCTAGGCTACCATCCGCATGTCGTGCATGGTGCGTATCTATTTTTTATTTCCACAAATGCCTCTGTTTTAATTATGGGAAAAGTTAATTAAACCATACGACCATGTATGTCAGGTCATAAGATGGGAACAAAAAGAGTTTGGGTCATATTTTAGGAAAAGTTATATGTTTTGGTAATATTGAGAGTTTTTTTCCTAAAATTTATTTGGGAAGTCAGTTAAATAAATTATTAAAAAAACATGTGCCAAAATAAATATAAAAAATGCAATGTTTTTTCCATAATTTATTTAATTGACTTCCCGACTGAAATTTATGCTGAATTTGGGTGAACATCACTCACAAAATAGACTTCATGAAATACACACTCACAAATTTTCATCAATAACTTCTGTCGGGTAGCATCTCAAATGAAGACTTCTATCAAATAATATTGTCCCATTTATTTATGATTATTTCAATTCTAATACTAGTACTATTAAAAAATAAAAAATTTGGGGGCCAAGGACCCTACCCCTATACATACATCCGTCCCTGCTTCTCTGTATTTAAAAATATAACTACGTGGAGATTTTTCATAAAAATTTCTTCAAATATGCTCGTCATAATGAGAGAGTCCAATTATTATTATTTTTTTAAAATTGAAAAAATAAGTTACCCGAGCATTAACTCACCATAGCCTATATGACGCAAATTATATGGTGCAACCGGCGCACCATGAGGATGGTGCGCCCGGTTGCAAAAACGACGCATCTTATCTCTTTTTTTTTTTTTGCTTTTGATGATAAAAATGATAATAACTTTTTTATTTTTGATCCGATTTTTATAAAATTTATATCAACATTTTTTATTTTTCTTGATCTTTCAAATGAGACCAATATTGTGTATGTAATTTTAAGAAATTATCGAACTATTATATTAATGAGTATTGGATTATAAGAAAAATCGAATCTGTTTGGGAGATGATAGGTTTGTGAAATAGCAGATCGAATCTGTTTGGGAGTGGATCAGGGGCCTCAGTTACATTTGATAATACATTGAGTTACATCTTTTTATGAGCGAGTTACATCTTTTTATAAGCAAGTTACATCTTTTTATAAACGAGTTACATCTTTTTATAAGCAAGTTACATCTTTTTATAAGCGAGTTACATATATATATATACACACGAGTTGCATTTGACATGTCTGAACGCGACTTACATATATTTACACGTAAAGTTACATATTTTTACACGTAAAGTTGCATATTTATACACACGAGTTACATATTTGTACACACGAGTTGCATGTGACCTGTCTAAATGCGAGTTACATATTTTTTTACGTAAAGTTACATATTGTTACACGTAGAGATACATATTTATACACACGAGTTGCATTTGACTTGACTGAACGTGAGTTACATATTTTAACACTTAAAGTTACATATTTTACACACAAATGTTAATATGTTAAAATTACATAGGCAATATTGGTCTCATTTGAAAGATCATGAAAAATAAAAAATGTTGATATAAATTTTATAAAAATCGGATCAAAAATAAAAAAGTTATAACCATTTTTTTTAAAAAAAAGGAAAAAAAAAAAATATAAAACCGTCCCGGTATACGGTGCTCACCGTATACCGGTTGCACGGTATACGCACTCCCTATATGACGATAGATCTTTCCTGCCTGCTCTGATGTGAATTACTTTCGGAAATTTCCAACAGGAGTACAAAAGTTTGAAAATTCCAAAATAGGTTCGTCATGTTTTTATTCCCAAAATAGGAGTAATTATTGTCAAGTTTGGAAAATACTGCCATTTTAAAGTCTGGTACTGCCAAAACATGACAGTAATTAATCCTATTTTGGGAACAAAAACATGATAGTCCTATTTTGGAATATACAAACGTTTTTAGTTCTATTTTGGGTAATTTCTCAATTACTTTGTGTGAAATCATTAAACAGAAACAAACAATTAAGCGTATTTAAATTCGAATTATATTTACTCCGTGTATAGCTTGAATTAACTGAAGCTATATAAAAAATTGAATTTCCAATTTTAATCGCTATGCCTTGAAGCCAACATGCACAAATGATGAAGACTGAAGGATGATGATTTTGCTGAGCTTCTAAATTATACTCTAGTTGGTTCCTGCGTAAATGAACTTTAACAAGTACTACAAACACTAATTCAAATATTAACAGGAATAATTAATTAACCTACTTGTGTTTTGCAGCTCTGATCTTGTAAGTAGTGTTGATTTTAATGAAGAGACTGATGATTTACGTACGTACGTACCGTTGCACCGTTGGGACATTTCTTGCCGGAACTCTTACAAGCCCAGATGGCGGCGCCTTGGCCGGAAAGCCTGCCGCCGTGGACGGAGACGCTGTCAACTTGATGAAACGCCAGCCAGTTACCGGCATCGCCGATGACGTGGTAATCGGAAGGAGCAAGCAGGGTGCCCGAAATCCGAAAGGTGATGTGCGGGTTCTCGCACGGGCCGTTAAAGTGGGCTTGCCTGACGGAAAACGTTCCTCTGGGCACGTAAATCGTGACGGGGTCGCGGGACCCACAGGCGGAAAACCAGGCGAGCTGAAACGCTTTTGACGCGTCCGTTTTGCCGTCGCCTTTTGCTCCTAATCTCACCACATTAATTAACGTCGTTGCTGCTGGAATATAGACTGCAGCCTCGGCTTCATTAAAGATAATGAGGAAACATGCGGAGATGGCAGTGCTGATAATCATGGGCCAGCTTCTTAGTGCCATTTAATTAGCTGGCTAGATCGAATTTATTGATCTTTAGTTTCTACTTAATTTACCTCAGGAGTAATAATAGGTTAATGGAGAGAATGACAATAACTGATCAGAGAGTGGATGGGAAGTGGGAGGTTGTTTAAGAAGGCGGTAATGAGGTGAGTAGAACTAATTAATTTGACGATTTTTAGCGAATTTTGAGCGGAATACAATGATTTATTTATATTTGTGAAAATAGCCGACTAAAATAATTCTTAAATGCACAAATAAATTACTCGTATATGTTATTTATCTTTCCAAATTAGGACTATTATCCTATTATCCTATTCTACTCTTATCATAACTTAATAGGATAATCATATTTTAATTTATAATAAAAAATAATTAATGAAAATAATTTAATTAATAAAAAAGCATAAACCATATAAAAAATAAAAATAATAAAAGTTTTAAAATTTTTTTTATAAAAAAATAAAAATCTTAAAAAAAAAATAAGAATAGATAAAACACATTAAAAATATAAAAACTATGGAGGCCTTTCCCTCAATCCGCAGTCTCGACCACCTCCCAACAATGCCAACTTTGATCGGCAAATCAAATGTCATTTTGTGTAAAAACTTCTACTTTTTCTCTTTGAAAATTTCAAAATTCTCTCAAAACATGTCACCAAGATGACATTACTGACGCTTGTTGACATTTTTATCAGGGGGCAGAGCTGGTGGTGCGTGGAGGCAGTATAAGAGACCTGCATTTTTTCTTACGTTTATGGGAGAGAGCTATTTTTTTTGTGTTCAAAATTTTACCATTAGTTCCTCAAAAGCTTACATCTACATAATAATTAAAAGCGCAAAAAAAGTCACTTGTCCAACCAAACAAGGAAATGAATTAAATTGATGAGAAAATCATGTTGCTAAATTCTAAATAAAATATAAAACAAAAACAAAACAAAACTTGAGCAAAACATTATAACCAACTCCAACATAAGCAAAACAACAAGCTAATTCAAGCCGAGCCATGATGAAACCAAGACACCAACACTACTAAAAAAATAGACTGTAGTGACTTTAAATAAGTGTCACTAAAAGTTTCCATGACACTTCACAAAAGTCAAGGTAGTTCAAAAATTGTGACACTTGATATAAATTACGGAAAATGTGTCAAGAAATAGGTGACATTATAGTGTTGCAAAATATTATGATACATTTGTAACAATAAATTTCAAAACATAATTAAACATGTAATGCAATTTAATGACACATTAGTATCACTAAACTCGGTGTAATATAATATAATTCATATGCACCTTAAACCGCAAATACGAAGTAAAATACATTCAAATACAATAAGAAATAATCAACGATAAAAAAACAAATACTTTCATTTTTTACTCAAATAGTCAAATGGTTATTCGAAAAGTGAATACAAAAAATGCACTTCAACATAGCACAAAAATACAGGAACATTTCATCTGTAATCCAATTTTTCATAAAAAATAGTCTAAGACTTAATGGGCTTCAAATGCGATTAATTGACATTCTTCAGCATGATATCATTTTGCTTCCATCCACTTGGTGACTTCTTGTTTGACACCGCGCCCGAATGTACTTAAATTTAAAATTCAATATGCATTTGAATTTCCTAGCAAATAAAATTTGTTCTACAAAAAGATTTATTTAATTAATGCGTGATTAATTAAGTTATTTATCGGGTCCATAGTATTGAGAATGGACTACTAAATATTTAGTTGGGTTGTCATAATAATTATAGAAACCCAATAAAATGTCAACTAAAGTTGAGGAAAATGTTTGGACAACCCAAGTGCTATTTTGACCTAACCTGCCAGAAATAGCAGGAACAGGCCCGACCCTGAAAAATTGAAGGCCCTGTTTAAAGTAAAGATAGAGGGCCCTAATATTTAATTTTAAAAAATAATGCCAATAATACAATAAAAAAACAAATTTTATAAAATGCAATTCTACTTGATGAAGTAAACACCAAGAGTATCTAAATTTCATTCAAAATTTTGAACTTAAACTACACTTATTTAAACAATGCTTTATTTCTATAAAATTTGAAATAAAATCTTCAACAATGCCTTGATATGCAGCTTTCTTACGTAGATCACTCTCAATTGCTACTAAAGCCAATTCATTAAGTGTTTCTAACTGTGACACTTCAAAAAATTCAAATAAAAATAAAAATAATTTTTATTAGTCAGATAAAAATATTACGAAAATAACATTTTAATTATTCAGAAAAAAATTCAACAGTCGTAACATTCTAATCAGATAAAATTTCCAAGTTCACGATTTTTTTTTAATCAGATAAAAATGGCCCGATAAAAGAAGTTACATTTTAGTATAAAATTAATTTTTATAACTATTTTAGATTGTATAATATACAAAGTATAAACTAAATAATTAAAATACTCAAAATATACATATATATATACATAATAATAATAGTAACCTACTTAGTAATATAACTAAACTAAAATACCTACGTAACTACGTAATAATATATACTACTACTACTACTTAAATACTACTACTACTACATATATACGTATTAGGATTAAATAGGAGGTAGTAATATATAACTATAATACGTATTAGGATTAAGTAGGAGGTAGTAATATATAACTATAATACGTATTATAGTTTTTCTTGGCCGGCAAAACAACACAACCAAAAATCGGGAGGAGCTGTTTTAATCCAACTCTAACTCTAACACAACCCGGAACCCTCATCTCTCCCTATAAATAATAGGCCAGAACCCGCGTTTTCTTCATCCCGAAAATCTGAGAAATATACATATATACGTGTATATATATATATATATATTTTTTTGCGACCCATCGTTTGAGCCAGAAACAAGCCCTGAAAATACTTCTCAAACCTTCCCCTTCGTGATACGAATCCAACGGAAAAAGAATCGTCGAAAACGGTCGTGAAACGAGGGAGAAAAACCTCGCCGGAGTTTCGCCGGAGAAAAGCTTTTCGACGGAAAACGGAGAAGAGGGAGGAGCTGCCACTGCCGCCAACCCACCACCGTCATTCGCCGTCCCGAGAGGAGTGCACCGCTACCCCATTGGCCGTTTCCGACGAGGTAAAACCTCTTTCCCCGTTTTTTTTCTCTCTCCCCGTTTTTCCGGCGACCTGGGGAAGAAGAAGAAGACCCAGCTGGGGTCCCTCTTGGGCCTAATTTTTTTTGGGCCAGAATAATTTAATTTGGCCCAGTTCGGCCCAGTTGCAATAAAAATTAAAAATAAAATAGTAAATGAAATAAATAAAATCTGGAAAAATATAAATTAAATACCTAGTATACATATACATATTAGGACCAACCAGAATTGGAAAATAAATTTTTTAGCTATTTTTAATGGATTTAATGGTAATTGGGCCAATTTATACACATTTAGTAAATAATTAACTAAATAACGAAAGTAATTATGAAATAAATATTAGAGTAAACTAGGATAAATATATGACTAACTAGGACCTTATGGACCATTTATAATTAATAAAAATAAGGTTTAGTATATTTAATTGTAATTAAACCGGTTAATAGATATATGAAATTAAAGGAATAATTAGGGAAAATAATTATAAAATAGATATCTGGACAACCTAGGTCGAATATAGACCCAAAATATATTTATGGACGGTTACTAATTTATAAAGTCGATTCTTAGTCTATTTATTTAAATTAGGCCATATAAGACTAGTTAAGTAATTAAATAAGGAAATATTAATCGTGATTATTGAATAAAAATTTAGATGTTGTAGTTAATTATATTCGAATATTTTATTTAATATTAGAATTCAAATATTGTAATTAATGACTGAATTAATAAGGTAATTTGATTAATAAAAAGTGATTAACTCGAATAATTAATTGATTAATAAATTTGAATAAGGAAATAAAAAGGGGGGAAAAAGGATAAATGATTGAAATAGAATAAGTGACTAATTATATTATCTTAATTAAAAAGGTGAATACTTAGAGACCCAAATTGAAGAAGAGAATTAGGAGCATCGGGACTTAAGGTAAGTTTCACGTCAACCGAAACTAGTTCTTTTTCTTCGTGATTTGTTTTAAATATTTTTGTGTGCATATTTGAGAATTGAATTTATGTGTGCTGAATTTAAGTGAAAAGTATTATACGAAAGGGTTGTATTTGAGATATTAGTTGATATATTGTTTTGTTGATATGAGTTATTGTATATGATTTTGGGAGATTTTGTAATAGTACGTAATTTGTTATCTTTGTGGGAGTTTGATAAAAAGGGAATTTTTGAAGTATAAACTTCGATTGATTTAGAGAAAAATAAATATTTTCATAAAAGTTGAGCATCACGGGAGAAATCTGTGGTGTTGGTTTTCCACGTCCCTTAAAATGTGGGGGATGGTTAGGTCTACTACTACTCGATTTTTGTGGTTTTGGTTTGAGGTGAATTGATGGTCGGTAGAAAATATCCCGGCTTTTGAGTAGTAATGGTAGTAGTAGCTCCTAATCATTCAGGTTTTGAGGTGGGGTAGTTGGTAGAAAACATCCCGGCTACCCGGATCGACTTACTAACCCGGAGGGCTTGGAATACCTTTAGGGGGTGTGCACACTTAAAGTAGTTGTTTCCGTTTCCAAGGAGCAGTTGTGGTACCGGCGATAGTTCCGGGGTGGCCGTACATAACAACGAACCACCGGGCTCAACCAAAGTGTTGAGCACCGCCCTTCTAAATTATTAGGAAGTTAGATACAAAGTGATTTTGGGAGAAATTCAAAAGAGGAGAATTTTGGTGTTTCATGTATTTTGGAATTATTATGGTTTACGAGTTAATTATGTGATTGGGATTTTATATAGATATCGTTTACTTATGATTTATGGTTTATAAAGTGTTGAAAAATATTTTATGAGGTTGTACGAATTTATATATATTATTTATTATTATTTTAAAAGGTTAGGTGGAACTTACTTAGCATTATTGCTAATGGTTGTTTTCTTTTATTTTTCTTGTGCTCGTATTTAACAGGAGGTGATCATGATGATTTTGATGCTGAAATGTTTGAGAGCGCGAATTAGAAGACAATTATGTAGTTCACTAGAAATAAACTTTAATATTTTCTTATGATTCGAACATCTTGATTTTTGTTAAACTCACGTTTTGGTAGATAGCCTTAGCATCCAATCATTCACGGATTGGATGTGGCGGTGACATACCCCTTTTACTTAGTTTTATTAATTTCCGCTGCAACTTTTGAAGTTTTAATCATTAAATAAAAGTTCATCTCTATTTCTAAGTATTATTTTGGGTGGAAAATTTGGGGGTGTCACACTAACGTTCTCCATATATTGGGAAAGAATTCAGAAAAGAAACTTGTGATATGGATCAATAAATAGGTTAAAAGAACGTATATGCAAAGTATTTCAAACATGAACAACGGTCTTGAAAAGCAACAAGTCAATAACGAAGTTTAGCATTTGTACCTATATTTGTACATATATATATATACATATATGTACACACATATATATACATATATATATACATGTATATATACATACATATATATATATATATATATATACATGTATATATACATATATATATATATACATGTATATATACATGTATATATAGATATATATATACATGTATATATAGATATATATATACATGTATATATACATATATATATACATGTATATATACATATATATATACATGTATATATACATATATATATATACATGTATATATACATATATATATACATGTATATAGGGGAGGGTTCAAATTCAAAGAGGTCTTCCCATGCAAAGTGAGAATTAATCTCGTGCGTTCATTTTGATATCTAATGGCTCAAAATGAGCCAAAAGTGAACTAAATTTGATAAAAACGTGGTGGCAGTTTCGTAATTAAAACGAAGTTTTTTGCCATCGTGAAAAAGTGCAACAAAAACACGCAAAAGTGCAACGCGGTGAAGAAAAAGTGCAATTGTTCGCACGGGAAAACCTCTTTTTATTTGATCTCTTCCCTATATATATATATATATATATATATATATATATATTTGAACTTATAATCACTACAAAAAAACAGAGACTTTGTCACGTATTTTGTCACGGATCCCAGTTCAAAAAATCCGTGACAAAAAATTTTAAATCCGTGACAACATTTGTGTGACAAAAATTTTAGTCACGGCCAATATTCCGTGACAACATTTTGTCACGGTCTTGTCACGGCAACAATACGTGACAAAACAAGGTACCGGAGCAACACCGGTGTTTATTTGTCACAGATGTTTCCGTGACAATTTTTTTTGATTTTTTTGATTTTTTTGAATTGTTTTTTTGAAATATCCGAAATCGGCTAGGCGGGAAACTTGAAATTTTTTGAATTCAATTTTTTTTTACTTTGTCACGGATTTATCTGTGAAAAATATTTTTGGAATAATAATAAAAAAATATTTTTTGCGCACAATTATTGAAATTATTCTTGGAAAAGTTGAAAATTTGTCACGGCCTGGATTCGTGACAAATTTTTATATTTTAAAAACAAATTAAAAAAATTTTGCGCACTTTTTAATAAAAATTCAAATTTAAAAACTTCGTTTAATAATTAAATACTTTAAAAACAATTCATACAATCACATAACGATTAAACAAACATTAATAACAATAATCATTGTCATTGTCATAATCACATAATGATTCAATATCAATTGCATTTAAACTAATTATTACAACCCCATTTAGGCATCATCATTGTCATCATCATCATTGTCATCATCAACAAGCTGTCTGGGCTGTTCGGGTTCCCTGTTGCCACGGGCACCTCCACGGCTGCCCGCTCGGCTGCCCCCTCGACTGCTTCGGCCTCCGGGAGTTGGATGTGGTTGATCATAATAAGAATACAGAAAATTTGGGGACAGATGGCTATAATTGCCAAACGCCATACCGCCCATGTTGCCCATGAAAGGAACTTGAGGGGTCATCTCGGGATGCTGAATGTGCATGGTAGGGCGATAGGTGGCGTTTAAACGTTTCATTTGTCGTTCAAACTCAGCCATCCGTTCTCTAGTTCTCCGTTCCTCTTTCTCCCGTTCCGCCCGTTGCTGAGCTATTTCTTGGTCCAAGCGGGCAATCTGTTCATCCCGTTCATCATTCACTTGATGAGAAGACGAGCTTGCTCCTCTGGAGTTTTGCAAGAGCCGTATGCCTTCAAACCCCAAGAAGGGCACCCGGCCCTTGTAAACTCCAGTGGCCGCCAAAACGGCATCATCATCTTCAAACTCATCAAGATTAGCATCGGAATCATCACCACGCTCCATGACCTTCTTTCCTCGCTCTTCCTCATACTTTCTCTACAAGTTCAAAATTTTATTATAATCAAGATAAAAAAAATCGGAATTTATTGATAATTGAAGTCGAGTTATTTACTTCAATTTCGGAGAGGCGAAGTGGCAACGATGACGACTCAGACCCGTGCGGATTCCAACAACTTCTGATAAGTTGCCATGGCGACACGGTGACACCCTCTTTTTCTGGGGTCCAGGCCCTTGCTACACGGATTTGAAGTTATTTAAAAAGAAATATATATTTACATATGAGGGGGTGTAATGGAAATAATTTTCAGGAAGAAGAATTTACAAGATCTTTTTTATGTTGAACTTGAGGTTTAATTTGCGGCCCCCGTGCCATTGTGTCTCTTTGGCTCTCTCCGAGTTCCGATTTGCTTTGCCAGCTTCGCCTCTCTTCGAAAACTCCGGATCCGTAGACCAATGATGAACGAGGTCCTTCCAGACATCATCACCAAGGAATCCCGGATGTTTGCATTTACTCCGGGCAGTCCTAAAAGTGGGTCTCAACCACCCCGAGACTCTAGATTTGTATTCTTTGAGAACAACGGCATCTTGCGATGGATGCCATCGATGTTGGGCCTTCATTAAAAAATTGATATCAATTGTTAAATTTAAGTTTCTAAAATGTGAGAAATATCACTTATTTTTACCTTGAACATCCGCCACCAAAACTCACGGACGTCAGCTGGAACCTCTAGGTAGGTCGACCAAGGACTGGTGTAATGACCGGCAACTATAGCTTTGATTCTTTGCAACTCCTCATTATCGCTTCAAAAAATTCATAATTGATAAAAATATTTATAACAAATTACAGAAAAATGAATTCCATTCTTTCTAATTAGAGAGAATTAGTAATTAATTACCTATGAATCGATGGAGGTGTCATCCGATGCGCATTGTTATTGTTTCGCTCGGCTTCAGGGGGGGGGGGCATACACCGGGCGAGATGAACCTCCACGGGAGGTTGCTGCTCCACCCTGCGAGGTGACCACATGTGCATCAGACTGTTGGGACGGAGGGGTTTGCACATGCCCCTCATCTTCATTGGCGTTAGCATTGACATCAATTTGAGCATTTGAGTTGCGTCGTGAGTTGGAGGCACCACGACGGGTAGAGGTGGAACGACGATGTTCATGTTCACTCATCTAAAATGATTTAGGTATCCTTTGAGATCTTATAAGGATTACAATAATAGAAGATTTTATCAGTTTAGAAGTTTCACTAAAAAAGTTTGTTTTTGGAAATAATATGACATATTAAACTGTGAATGAGTTTAATATGAGGGGTATAAATTTTTTAAATTAATTTGTTTATAACTTTAAAAAATACATTTTTGTATTATTTTTACTCTTATTTTAGAAAAACAGTTTTGTACTAATAAAAAATAGTATATTTTAAAATTCGAATTATATTAGCATTTTACTCATAAATGGCATTGGAATAGTTAATAATTTTTAATAAAAAACTTTATTGTGTACATTTTATAAAAAAAAACAGTTTATTTAGTTGTGGTATTAACTTTTTATTTTTGTTATTTTTGTTGTGTATGAACAGTTGTATTAATTAAACAGTTTATTAATTTCGAAAAACAGGTAATTAAAATACAGTTTCTTAGATTTTTTAGTTTTGTAAATTAATTTTGAAAAACAATGTAATTTTATTATAAAATTACAGGTAATTAATTCATAAAAAAAGTTTAGTACTTTTTTGTGTTATTTATATTAATTAAAAAAACAGTTTATGTATATTATAAGTTCCAAAAAAAACTTATACAGTTAATTATTAAATATGATTTTTTTTAAACTAAACATGTTAAACTTGTTGAAAGTTTAACATGAGGGCGATGATGAATGAATTTGTGTTTTGAAAAACAGGATAATTTTATTATAAAATCAGTTTATTTTATATATTAACCTTATAAAGTCACTTTTTTATATTAATTCATAAGAACAATTTGTTAATTTTTTGTGTTATATATATTAATATATACAAACAGTTTGTGCTTATTATAAGTTCCAAAAAACGTATACAGTTTATTATTAAATATGATTTTTTAAAACTAAACATGTTAAACTTTTTGAAAGTTTAACATGAGGGGTGCAAATTAATAGTCCTAATTAATGATGGATAGTCTACCCGGGGGTATGTATCCGAAGGGTTACTGCGGGAAGTAACTAGAGAGAAGTCAGAGCTAAAGTAAGAGAGAGAGAGAGAGTATATTGCTGAGAATGCAATGAGCGAGTTTAGCTTGGATTACAAATGGGGAAAAGGGGCGCTATTTATAGTAGTAATAAATGCCAGATAGGGACACGTGTCATCATTCTGGTGGTCGAGGGGTCACCTCAACGGGGTGGCACTGACACTGGCATGTGGCCGCATTAAATGCGGTGGTTGGATGTGACGTTTGTGTTTGGTACGTTGATCTAGCGCATGTGGGTGGGAGAATCTGTCGGGGAAGGTACCCTCGGCTGTAGGTGATTAGCCGAGGGCTCTTCCTGTTGAAGGCCCCTTAAGGCCGAGGGCTCCAGTTGCCGAGGGCTATTGTTTTTTGCCGTTTTCTCCCAGTAACTTTGTGTGCTGAAAATAGCCTTTCTGTGAGTATCAGGAGCCTTCAGCCAAGGCGCCGAAGGCACCCCCAATGTGCATTGTTGGCTGCTTGGTACTCAGGGCGCTGTGATTTGGCCCTGTTGTGTTTCCTGGGCCTATTGGGCCTTGATAAGAGTAGTAGGAGTCTATGGGCCGGGGGTCTCTGGGCCATATACTCCATCAATTAATGTCTCCAGTCCCCCACTCCTTGAGGCACTTGCAAAGTGGTGAAAAGGAGTAGAGTAGTGCCTGCCTGCAATATGAAGCCTAGGGGTGACGCTTTTCGTTTTATTTTGGGGGGATGCCTCGTTAAAAACCTCATTGGAAAAAACCCTGTGGGAAGAAATTCCAATGAGGGAAAAAGAGTGCACCGAATTCCCCCAATGATGAGTCGAAAAGGTGAAACCCTGGTCTGAAATGAGTGGCAGTATTTTTAACGAAGGCTATCCTTGTCTGAAGGCGCGTGTGTTGATTTGTCGAAGGCTCGCTGTTGTTATCCTGAGAGATGCCGAAGGGGAGCCCTCAATTTATGAGAATGAGGGCGCGATGAATGTGGATGATATTTCCTGTGTTGTCGAGGGGTCCCTTGTTTATTGACAAGTGGGGGGCTGCGGTGCCCCGAGGGGCTTCCATGAAAAGGCATGCTCCCCGGGGGCCACGTGGTCCTCAATGTGTTTGAGGGCTGAGTGTTCCCGAGGGGTGTGCCCGTTGGGAAGCCGTGGGCTTCTGAAGGAGTGAGCCCGAAGGCACTTGTGATGTATTATGAGGGGCATTGGCCGGGAGCACTTCTGGGTAAGTGTACCCGGGGGCTCGTCTTGACGAAATGGAGTGAAGAAGACAACCCGGGTTCCCAGAATATAGCCGTTGTAATAGAGCCGTTGGAAGATGTAACGTCGGAAATATAGCCGTTGGAGGGGGGCCTCCACGTGGCGTGCGTTCGTTGGTTGCCTGTGGGCGGGAGTCACCGATTTGGCAACTCGACGGTTTGTAATGATGGTTTTGTAACCGGAGGCCCGGTTTCCGGACCCAAGCCCGGATCTGGGCGCCTATAAATACCCCAAGGCCAGGCCATTCTCCCTTTACACATCCTTTATCGCTAGTGAAGCTCTGCCGGATTTTCTAGAGAGAGAAACTCCAGCCTTCGGTCAAAACCAGTTTTCAGAGGTCAGTTCTCCTTCTGTTCTCCATTGCCCTCAGTGCAGCTTCTTGTTTGGTGAGTTTAGTTCATATACTTTAGGCTGAGTGTTAGAATCCACTAGGTAGCCTTCGGTTAAGGAATCCTGGTACTGTAGTAATTACAAAAATGTCGTCCCAAAGCGATTCACAAAACATCTCGAGGGAGCCCTTGCCTGGGGAGGAGAGCATTTCTGACGTCGGGTCTACAAGTAGTCAGTCCTTGGAGGACGTTGATGCTGCCATCGCCATGGAGATCCAGAAGGAACTGGTGACTGAGGCCGAAGCGGAAGATTTTGAGCAAGTAAATGAAGACGAGGAGCTGGCCCTCGCCGTTCAAGTTGCAGAGGAGGAGGAGCAAAAGGAGAATATGAAGGTCACCATCGTCGTGCCCCCCCCCCCCTCGAGGTGCTGGTGAAACAGGGAGCTCTGAGCCTCTGAACCCGACGCCTCTAAGGGTGGCCCCCGGGAACAAGCAGGAGAAGACGAAGGCCGCTCCCAAGAAGAAAGGCAGGGTTGCTGATCAAGGAAGACCTATTGATATGCCCGAGGGGTACTCTTGGTTGAATACCGCTGCCCTCGAGATAGGGTCGAAAGCTGACCAAGAGGATATTTTCGTCACTCATTTTCATGTGGGGCCTTCAGCCGTAGTGGTGGCGCTGGGTCCTGATGATGTGCTCTCCCGGGCTCCCGAGGGTTGCATCGCCGTCCATATTCTGTCCGTATCCATGGGTCTCCGGTTCCCACTGCACCCATTCCTTCGGGAATATCTTAGGTACGTGGGTCTGGTCCCTTGCCAATTGACGCCTAATAGCCACTCATATGTGGCAGGCTTCCTGAACCTTTTCCGGTCCCGAGGGGTGACCCCCAGCCTAGATTTGTTCTTCCAGAGTTTCAACCTCTGCCGGGGAGGTCACACGAATGCCGAGGGCTTCGCGAACTTGCAGCAGACAGCCAGGTGGAAGCTGTTTACCGAGGCGCCTTCATCAAATAAAGGCTGGAAGGAGCGATGGTGTTACATCAGAGTGGATGAGAGCCCCTTCCCGAGGGAGCTACGGGATCGTTTCTGACGGCATCCGAAGGTCGGAAATGCTGCTCTCTAGAAAGATGGTTTGATCATAGCCAAGATTCCGGAGGGTCGCACGAAGAATGTATCTATCAAAGACTACACCCTCGATAAGGATCTTTACGCCCTCGGCTTCCGGAGATATCGCTTCCTTGGTGAGATGGACGAGAGGTACCCCGAGTTGGACAGAGCCTTCGAGGGAGCAGGAGGTAGTAGCCGAGGGCTTCCCAATTTGTACTTAGGATTTTTTTTCTTTTTTTTTGATTGTCTGTTCACGCTTTCTACCCCTCGGTCTAACTGTTTTTTTGTTGTTTGCAGGCGCGAATATGGACGCAAGGAAACTCTTCGCCTTGAAGAAGAAAAAGGGCAAGGCCCAGACTCAGAAGAAGGACCCTTCGGCCCAGCAGCCCATTGAGGCCTTTTTCCAGAAAGAGATACCGGAGCCCTCCGCTGTGGCTACCGTTGCTGTCGGGGCCGAGGGGGCCACGAAAAAGAAGAAAGGCAGCAAGGGGGTAGAGCCCCCCTGCCAAGAAGCAGAGAGGTCCTGGGGATGTTGCTGATCAGGCGGCCCCCTTGGTGATCATAGAGGATCGCTCCTCTCCCGAGCCCCCGGTTGTCACCACGGCGACATCTCAGACAGACCTTCCCTCGGGAGATTCTGCAACTCTCCCTGGCTCCAGGAGCTTCCGTGATGCATGGCTTGGCCGAACCGAAGGCCTTCCTGAGGGGGATCACTTCGGTGATGGACAAGGTGGCCCTCTCGACTTATGACGACGAGCCCCTCGAGAGCAAGATCTTCCGATCTTCTCTAACTGTACGTTTTTTCCCTTGTCCTTGTTTTGACATTTAATACATTTCCAACATTCGTCTAACTCCTCTGTTCGTTGTTTAACAGGCTTGCATAGCCCTCGGGGAGCATGCGCAAAGGCTCGAGTAGTGGCGCCTCCACAAGGCGGAGCAGGATCAAAAGATGAAGGAGCTCATCCTCAAGAACTCTGATGCTGTGAAGCAGATGGCTTAGCTGGAGGAGAACCTTAGGAAGGCTACCGAGGGGGCTGAGCAGAGGCTGAAGGCTGCCGTGGAGGAGGCCAGACTTGAAGCCGAGAGGGTCGCCGCCGAGGCCTCCAAGAAAGCTGCTAAGGAGGCGGAGTCTGCCAAGGCCTAAGCCATCGCCAAAGCTCGAGAGGATGCCGTTGCTGCGTTCATGGCTGAGGGCTGGAAGACCGAGGA